CATGCATTCAAATAAGTATGTAAACATCTAAGCACCTAAGCCCAGATATATTTGCGTCGTGGGGCCAGGTGAAGATCCGATGATTTAATTTGTTAAGAAGTAACGTGGATTAAATTTCTCGGTTTTTGTAACAACATTTTGAAATAAGATATAGAGTAGGTTGGTCATTATGATAATGTTAGAAATTACTCTTTTTTGTAACAGTGACCCAGTCACAGAGGTAATCTGCTTAACAGATAATAAACATTTGTTGATTCACCTGTTTGTTTAATGTAGGATAGTTTAATAACTTATCAAAAAATAATCCATGTATAACTTTTATCAATATTTAAATAAAAATTTTAATTACTATAAGAAGAAATGGAATTAACATTTTACTGACTTATCTCTTCAAATTCAAATTTAGATATAAATTCCTTGTTTTAGGTCATGAACAATCCTACTTTGTGAATAACTACACTGATTCCAACCACAAATGCACCGAAGATGAATCATCAAAATGCTAGGCTTTTTTTATCGACAAAATATATATTGAGTTTGGTAGATTGACATAATAACAGACAGTCGGTACATGTATTCCAATGTGTAATAATTGTACACCAACTACTGGCCGCTTTGTTTTTGAACTCATATGAACCAGAATTCATACAGAACCTACTCAGAGACAAATGGAATAAGCATCTTGCAAAATTCTTTATTTCCACTTTCAGATATATTCATAATCTCCCCCTGTCACTCATTTACCCACCTTCCGTCTCATATATCCATGTGAACTTGAAATAAGGATACTTCAGAAAATTGAAGGTCTTTTTCATATGTTAATCTGTTCCTCTATGACAAACGTAATGATTTCAACTTTTAAACTGTCATCTTCCCATTAAGCAGGAGAAGCATATCCTCTGACCAATCTTGTGTTGTTTACATTTCTCTATTAATACGCTACGCTCGTGCATGTTAACAAAATATGGACTTCATTAAGTGTATGCTCTATACACAAAAAATGCTCCAAAAGATATAAGAAAAAGAACTACTGAAATATACATTACGTAGTTTTACTGTTCCCATTACGAACTGGTTGACCGAAACAATGTATCTGTGTCTAACGTCAATAGCTACACGTTTTTTGCGGTCTACATCATTAGATACCAACATAGTCTTCTTATCTGTAATTTTAACGATTGTGTCCTACTCCCGATTGTGACATTTTAACTGAATGTAGATTTGCATGGCTTAACCTGTCGACGAACCAGATTTCGTTCCTTTTGGAGTTCATGTAATTCTGTCGGTTATTTTATTTATTTTATCTTCTAAATCGATTGGTGAGGTATGAACATGGTATAAACATTGGTAAACTACTATACTTATATGAGTTGTATCGAACTGTAATAAATCAAAACAAACAAACAAGACAACCTTGTAGTTCATAAGGTGGTCTTGATGAACTCATCATATGCTAGGATAATTTTTCTACGTAAAAACCTACCCATTCATGGTGAAATATAACAGTAAAACTTTTTTCTGTTTAGATGAAGATAAAAATAATTGAGATTTTTCACACAGATTTTCTTATTAGCCATGTTTTTGCATTACGGATAATTTTCTAAATAAAAGAATCATTCATGTTTCATTGTTTTTCAATAAACAAAAATATATCTTTTGTTATATTTTGACTACTACAGCTAGGCTATGAAGCTCCTACCAAGTGTTTGATTAGACAGGATATTTACATAACTTGTTGAAGAGATGAAGCAGTTTTGAATTATTTGGCTGTAAAATTATTGGAGAAACAATTGTTTGTCCTAGATAGCAAACTTAAATTGACTCTGCATTCAAAAGCGATATCAATACTATTAAATGAGAATGAGAAGACCTCATTTTGTGTGTCGCTTCTCTTCCTTCCACAATGAATTAAACACCATGCCTCTGTGTTCTATAGGTAACATACGTAGTCGCATTTGTCACCCTCGCTTATGATTATTCCGTTTGGGTTATTTTGGGAGGAAAACGAAAATAAAGGCGTCCGGATATTGTTTCCATCATCGGACGGACTTTCAAGTCATAGAAAAGACTTCCGTTTCATAGGTACTTGGGGACAGGACAATTATTTTTGCGTTTTTCTTTATTCTGTGAACATACATATACTATAAATTAAGTGTATTTGCTATTAACTATCAATTTCAAGTTTACTATCCACGGCGGTCAATGATATATTATATAGAGAGTCTCTATATATATATCAGTGACAGCCGTAAACTTGGAATTGATAGTAAATAGAAAATACAATTTATTTATAGTATATGTGTGTTCATAGTATACAGAAAAACTCGAAAATAATTGAAATTAATAGAAAACAAAAATATAACGGATTTTGGAAAAAAGGGGGAGAGCAAAAAAAATTGTCCTGTCCCCAAGTACCTATGACTTTTGATACCTTTCCTGAAATTCTCCAGTTATAAAATCTTTTACAAAAATTCATCCTACAACAGTTTACATACTTTCAACCACGTTATAAATGCCCGCAATTTCGCTTGTGTGTTCTAGTATTTCTTTATATATATTAAAGAGGTCATCACATTCTTACGAAGTTATATTCAATACCTGTGCGAAATTTCATTCTCTGTACAACTTATGTTTAAAAACCATATTACACAGCTATTATCTCAGATATTGCCCGTCACATACCTGTTAGCATTGGGAAAGAAGTAACGGAGAAACAATCCTTTCTAAAGCTTCCCTTGCCTACAAAGTTCGTGCTATCAATTTAGACTGTGTCCTGTATCATAAGTCAGTTCAGTCAAAAAAAAACTTGTACTTTAAAGATCAATCTGCATCTATCATCTCTTATACATGTACCTATACCACACATATTGCTACTTAAATGTTCAGCTACAAACACGTGTTGCGGGATCTCAATGCGAGATCTCTTAACTTCCTGATTGCACCCTCATTTTTTCCATTCATTTACATATGTGTAAACCAAAGAGACTAACAACCGTAGGCATAACTCTATAAAAAATTGGCGTAATAGCTTGACAAAAGAGCGATATCAGGTGCGTCGACAGGATACTGATAAGTGTCTCCTCTGAGTACATAACCAGCAATGAGAATCCCCACGCAATCATAATGTCACAATCGAGAATAGGACACAATCAGTGAATTTGTAAATCAGACGACTATTCCGGTATCTAAAGACCACAAAAAAATTAACCTCAGACATATTGTATCGGTCAACCCAATCGTAAGGAAGATCGTAAATCTTGTATAGTGTCGATTTCAGACGTTCTTCCTCATATCTATGTTGAAACAATTAATGTGTTAGGAGCACAGTCTTGTTTATGAAGTCCGTATACACACACATATATGTATATATATAGTGTATGTGAACATGTACTAGCTAAACGTATAAATTGAGATTTGTAAATACCACACGATAAGACAGAGGATATGTTACTGCTTAGAAATGAGAAGTTACCGTTTGAAAATGTTGAAATCATCACGTTTGTCATACACTCTAGTTTAAAATCGTTCATCGATGTCAATATCAAGGAATGAAGCAGACTGAGTCCTTTTAGTTTCGGTAATATCCTAAGTTTCTCTATAAAAATAAGATGTGGTATGATTGCGATTAATACCGGTATCCACCAAAGGACAAGAGATGTGTTGACTTCACTTTGATGTATGAGATACACGCACTTACTGAAACTGACAGGACATCATTAATATACACGTAAATGTGAAAGTGTGAAATTAAAGTTCTTTGCAAGAATATGTCTTTTGATAGGTTCTGTATGAATTCTGCTTCATATGTGTACAAAAAACCAGTCGACTAGTAGGGGTGCACAATACGCACTAGATGGAATTGTCTATTAAAATATATATTCATTAGACTCAACATGGAACCGAGAGGCGAAAGATACCAAAGGGAATATTCAAACTCACAAATTTAAATCAAACTGACAATAACATGGCAAAAAACGACGAAAAGACAAAGAACAATGCATAAAACACAACATAGAAAACTAAAGACTGAGCAACACGAACCCCACAAAAACCGGGGGTGATCTCAGGTGCTCCGGAAAGAGTAAGCAGCTCCTGCTCCAAATGTGGCACCCGTCGTGTTGCTCATGTAAATGTAAGTACAAATCTGGTGATAAGTCTAATTTGGTAAGCCACAATCGAGGAATAGAGGACGGGATATAAGTTGTCGATCATAATTTGGTGTATTTATTGTAAGATTCAGCGTGGTTCTTTACAAAATAAGATTTTTTTTTTCATGACATAAAAGAAGGAATTTGTATCTACGATTCCCATTATGTACAAAAGGGACTGTTTAATTGGAAGATGTAGTCAGTCTGTATGGGGAATAAAACTAGATAGTGCAGACATAAAGTTTTGATATTACTGCAAAATTGTAAAGATTGTGATTAGAGATTTTGGGAGTAGATCTCTAGAATTTTTTTAAAATTCACCTTTGATTGATACCTCTTGTTGAGTTTACCTTTACAAAATATTGCTGAGAGTAATTTTTACGGTAAAAAGATGGCAGTAGAAAGGTGCTTAGATGAACATTTCGGGACCTTTTATAGCTGACTATGCGGTAAGGGCTTTGCTCATTGTTGAAGGCCGTTCGGTTACCTATAGTTGTTAATTTCTGTGTCAATTGGTCTCTTGTCTCATTGGCAATCATACCACATCTTCTTATTTTTATAAGTTAATTGTCCGCAAAATAAGTGTGCGAACTGGTGAAGCGGGAACCAGGTTAAAGATAACACAATTATTAGTTTGTGTACGTCGGTTACTATACTGGTAAAAACTATATAAAACCACAATTGTACATTTTCTAAGATAGCTTGCCAAATTCAGAGGGAAATGATAACATAACATACTATTAATTAATGTTTTGTTTCAATATTGCTATTTACAAGAACATCTTCTTGTGCACTTATAGCAGTAGCGTCCTAGTTGAAAACGTGCCAAACATTGAAAAGTTCTATTTCTTGATGTTATCAGGTAAGATTTCATTTTTGCCATCAGAGTTAGGGAATTCATGTTCGTTACAGACAAAAATATAACTCCTACCGTCATCAAGTATAAACTGCAAAATTATCATGCAAAGACTAAAGGATTTATCAAAATTAAATAAGTCTGACAAAAACTAATAATCATAATGCCTCCGTCTAAATAGCCATTAGAAATATTGCATGACAAGTAAAAAGGTGGTAAGAGGAGTTAGCAATTTGGCGACCGGATTGCTCACCAGTGACAAGGATAAGCATTATCCGGTCCGGTTGACTAATGTATGTTTACGACTTTGAAAACCTCTAAATTGTTTTTTTTTCACTAAACTTTAATGAAGACATTCTATATGTTTTACTAAGAAACTGCTGTACTCTTTCTACTTATGAATTGAATTCGGTTAACAATGCAAAACATTATCTCTTTGTCTTTAAATGTCGTTTTCGTCAGTTTCTTGTCGTAATTTTTTTAAAGTTTGGTAGCTCCACTTCTCAAACTTTTGCGACTGTCTTGATTAAACGTTTTTAAATGAATTTGAAATACATATACACCAGATACAATCATAACTGCGTCTTCTCTGAAGTTAAATCAACAAATATGCAGAATCCATATAACACAATGGGCTTAATCATTTTGTCAGATAATTCTTATTGACATTTTATGGAGAACTGATTCAGTGTTTATTTCAAGTTATTATAACGAATATTATAATGACGTTTGTCCTCTTCCTTTTTAGCTAAGGTATTGGCTTCCCTTTTCGACTTGTTCAATCTGAAAGTTTATTGGTATCTTGTGTTTTGGTAGGGTTTGTGTTGCGCAATCTTTAGTTTTCTACGTTTTGTTTTGTAGACTGTTGTTTGTTTTTTTGTTGTTTTGGTCGTTTTTTCGTTTTTTTGCCATGGAATTGTCAGTCTCTTCTACGCAAATGTTTTCAAAGTTTACAGTGTCATGATTGTTCTTTTGAATCAGCCTTATCTATTATTCAAAAAAGTAAAAAAAATGTGGTATGATTTCTAATGTAACAGCATTTGATAAAAGAACGAAGGACAAGATATTTCCTTATTTCTAATTTGGCAGTATCTTTGTTTTAGTGGAGATTACAAGCTTTCCAAAGAATAAAGTCATATCATAATGTGGACAGTGAATTGGAATAATTATAATGGTAAAGAAATATCTTAGCTTGTTGAAATTGCGTTAAATGATTGACATAAATTTGATGACATAAATACTTTTTAAAGATATGATAAGTTCTTAGTAATAAAAACTATAGCTCTGCCAAAAAGGATTTCTAAGGATAATGAAACGATCTGTAGTGTTAATATTGAAAGTGCTTACCAACATATTATTCATATTTTGAATAAAACATCATAACAATAAATAAGCTTAGAATACTGAGGGGTGACAATATACATATTTTCGCAATCACCATTTGGGTCATTAGTCTTCGTTTCGAGTGGCATGCAGGAGGTAAATATAATTAAACGAATATAACTGAAAAGATATATTGCCATTAATATACAGCATTAACGTTTTCTTAAAAACAATATGCATTGCCGGAAAACGATTTTAGCAGTAAATATAATAAACTGTACTATGGTTAAACGAAATTATTACGTTTCGATTATATTGTATATCTTGTAAGTAACTTGATATCGAGATTAAAGCTATAAACGTTGGCAGAAACCAACATATTGTTATAATTTAGTAACGGAATCATGAGGAGATATAACTTATCGATTGATTGTTGTTAACCTAACGTTCAGTGGCAAATATGTCATGCATGTTCAGGAAGAGAACAAATTAACAAATAATACAATAGGTAGATCATGCAATAGGGGTTCGAGTCAGATGAATGTATATTGGATAGGGACAGATTATTTTCCTTGCAACAGGCCACCTATGGACCCCTCAATGAATGCTGTATGAGCTCTTAACGTGCAGTGAGCTTGGCACTCTCTGTACACGAGGCATCGGATTTAATGTTTCCATTTTGACTGGACGTGGCAGTGAATATATACATCCCACATAGCCAAAGGAGATATTAGTAAGGTTTAACCAGTTATTGCTCAATACTTAAACAAAATACAGCGCTTCTCCGTTTTCTGGTCGACTCATTTGTGTTTCCAATATTTGCATATAACATACACACAAAGAAAGGCTATTTGCCCAATTTAAAATCCGCTCGATTATGTATTGATAAAAAAGATGCAAATATACATCAATGAGACAACAGTTTTGTTTAGGCTGGTGCTTATCAATTTCTATCACCTATATCTGCACTAGAGTAACCAAACTATTGTAATTTTTTTTTTCTAGATCTGGTCAGCGAACATGAAGACTATTTTGTATTTGACAGTTCTAGTAGGGATTTGCTGCGGGCAAGGTAAATATATGAACAATGAAAATGTTATTCTTAGTTTTTTTTTTTTCTCGGATTGTTTCCAAGTATATTAACTTTTAAAAACAGAATTCGAATTGTGAAACAGAAAAAGTTTATTAACTTCCAATAATTTTTATCATGGTCGCTGAAACTATATGAATATGCCATTTGTTTGTTACAATATATACTTTTAAGATTTTTTCAAATCAATTCTTTTCGTGTTTTTTTTTTTTTTTTGCAAAAGAGTATGATCTGGATCCTGTATTTTGACTCTCTTTATGCTGTTCTCTTTGCATGTACATAACGGAAAATAGTATTTCATTTCCTTGGCATTATGCCATTTCGAGAACTCAGGAAATCTAATTGGAAGCACTTTGATTTGATGTATGTGTAATTAATTTTTTTTTATGAACAACTGCAGTTTGTATATTTGACTAAATTTCGAAACATGGAAATATTCTTTTAATATGTTTGATTTTTATAAAAACATTTTGTACATGAAGGATGTTAAATGATGGTTGCTATGGATATTATTAACAAGTTCAAAATGAAGATGGTAATACCTTTTTTAACTTCTAAAACAGAATGTACTTCTAAAGTTTTAAATGCATGCGTTTGTATAATAGTGGAATTTATTATAACAGCGATTTCGTTAATACCCTTTAGTTGTTTTTAAAGCAAACACATTAACTGTATATATGCATACAAGATACCAACAATTAGTAAGTACTGTCGACAACAGTATCATATGTAAGAAAATTTCTTTCATAAGCTTTTCTAAGTGATATGAAATTGGTTACTATATAGAATTACACCTGGTTTTTCATTTCTTTAGTTTGGAGTGCATGCTTATTAAAGACGTATTTCCCCTGCAGTTAAAAATAAAATATATTAAAAGATTTTCCTGGAGCTTTGCTTATATATATCAAAATGATTTGTAAATGTGCTTATTCGACCTCACAAGCTGTCAAATTGCAGTCTTTTTTTTTTTTGTTATTTTACTTTTTGGATGTATATACAGAATGCATTGACATGACCTTTTAGTGTAAAGTAAAATATCAAAAGTACCTAACTCCAAGGGAATTTCAAAACGGAAAGTCCTTTATCAAATGGCAAAATCAAAAGCTCAAACACACCAAAACGAATTGATAACAACTGTCATATTCCTGACTTAGTACAGGCATTTCCTTATGTAGAAAATGGTGGATTAAACCTGGTTTTATAGCTAGCTAAACCTCTCACTTGTATGACAGTCGCATAGAATTCAATTATATTGACAATAGTGTGTGAGCAAAACAAACAGACATAATAGGTAAAAATGTCAAAAACGTGGGTACAGCAGTCAACATTGTGTTATAATCTTCATTACTATAAAAACAAATAACTATTTCAACGAAGAAAAACAAAATGGCATATAGACACTCTATAGACAAAGTACATAAGCAAAAATGAAAGACAAGAATACAAAAAATGACCATAACTCAATAACACAATGGCGGGATTTATAAATACCGAGCCACTCAAAAAATATATTTCTAAGAAATGGACTAAACAGTAAGGTTAAAACATACAAAGACAATTAAAAAGAACACTTTAACAAAAAGGCTATGTTTAGTGTATGATTTATATGATTCTGATCATTAGTATTAAATAAATGAATAACTGCTAAATATTTCAAAAAGACGTACTCAACGTGACAAACAGAGACCCCTTTCATTTCGAAAGAGATAAATTAATGGTAGTTTTTAGAATGTTTGGTTATAAATGCATTAAACTTCTTCATTGATTGGCCTTCGAACTGCGAAATCTGGGTGCCACTGTTAGTCTTGTGTTGACGAAACGCGCGAATGGCGCACTAAATAAAGCCTAATATCTGTGATGCGTTTTTTTTACCCTTTTCTAGGAAATGTCTATCAGGAAATATTTCTTACAAATGTAAATTTGTTAATTACAGGAAGAGATAACCAAGGCACAGAGTTTTTGCTTGGTTTTATGGACAACAGAGGTAGGTAGTTTAAAAACTGTCAAATAATACAGTGTAATAGTTTAAACAATCGTCTGTATATAAAAAGGAGATGTGATATGATAGCAAAAGGCACAAAAGGCGGTGGCGTATCTAGAGGGCAGGGGGTTGTGGGATTCGGTTCTTACCTTTTCTCTTATTTTTTCTTTGAAAGACACACAATGATGAGAATTTCATGTTTCAAATTTTACAACTGAACTAATGTTTTATTTATATACAAATAAGTAGATATGGTATGATTGCCAATATGATAACAATCCAACAGAAAAGACGAAGATATAAGCAATAATAAGTCACCGTACGGCCTTTAACAATGAACAAAACCCATACTATGTAGTCAGCTATAAAAGCTCCCGACATAAGAACTATATAAAGACACATCTCATGAAAAAAAAACCCTACTTCAAATTTAATTGGTTTCTGTAATCTTGGGTGGTTGATAGTTACGAACGTTTCCATCACCAATCTAATACCATCGAAATCAAGGCATTTTTTTTGACAAACTTCAAGTCCTAAAAAATGTGTATGGTAGAATTAAACTGCATTTATTTTGATAACTGACACTTTAACGTATTGTAAACATCACAAGTACATTTATTTTGATAACTGACACTTTAACGTATTGTAAACATCACAAGTACATTTATTTTGATAACTGACACTTTAACGTATTGTAAACATTACAAGTACATTTTTTTTGATAACTGACACATTAACGTATTGTAAACATCACAAGTACGATAACTGACACTTTAACGTATTGTAAACATCACAAGTACATTTATTTTGATAACTGACACTTTAACGTATTGTAAACATCACAAGTACATTTTTTTTTTGATAACTGACACTTTAACGTATTGTAAACATCACAAGTACATTTATTTTTAATAGATTTATATTACTTTGGGCATGTCCATTTCAAAAACATCTTTGTTTTAATTTTCAAGCATTAGCAGTAAATGTTCTAGACTGAAATGCTTATCTTATAAAAATCAAATCCTCCAGTTCCAGAGCAATTATATATAAAACATTAAGTTTATATTTATACTTTACACATTTTTGCTAATTGAAAAAGAGATGTTTTTTTATAGTTTCAGGAAGTTCAAGTAATGACCTTGAACTCTTTGTTACCACAAGCTCTAACACAGCAGTAGATGTAACGGTAACAGCCCCATTATTTTCACCTGGAAGTACACTTGCGTCTACAACTGTCAGTCGTGGGAATATTGAAAAGATAACCATAACGATGTCCCTTCGTGGACTTGATGTAGAACTAGGGAATAAAGGTGTCTTGATCGAAGCAACACAAGAAATCACGGTATTCGCTGTAAACAAAGAGTTATATTCCACGGATGGATTCGTAGGATTTCCGACCGACACATTAGGAACAGAATATATATTGATCACATGGTCCACTGACGGACAGTTTATTGTTGTTGGCGTAACAGATGGAACCACTGTAACTATTACACTTCCGACATTTGTGTCTTCTACCTTATCCGTTACATACAACGGAAATACATATACCAATGGTCAATCATTCACCGTTATTCTTGATCGCTACCAAACATTTCATTGCTATCAAAGCGATGGTGACTTCACAGGAACAAGGATCGAAGCGACTCACCCAGTATCGGTTTTCAGCGGAGCTAGAAAGGTAGCAGTAAAAGATACCATGACGGGTACCAGTTCTGATCATCTTGTAGAACAGATAATGTCAGTGGACACTTGGGGCAAAGACTTCTTCACCATAAGTACACCAGATAGAACTATAGGTGATTACTTCAGAATAGTGGCAAGTGAAGATTCCACTACTGTTTCATTGGCCGGTTCAACACATGGGACCATAAATGCATATGAATACATTGAACTGAATGTCGACACAGGGGATTATAAAACCATTACATCTGATAAAGCAGTTATGATTGTTATGTTCGGAAAAACCGTTAGTTCCCAGAATGGAGATGCACCAAATGGCGGTGATCCACAGATGACGGTAATACCACCTCTTCCCCAATTTCCGTCAGACTATACCTTTAGCACTGTTGAAACACCATCCGGTGATTTTACAAATTACGCCCTGGTTGTTATAGATACATCAAAAACTTCCGATTTAATGGTTGACAATGTTGCTGCAAGCGCTTCATGGGCGTCAATTGCCGGATCAGCCACTTTGGTCACTGCAACGTTTGATATTAGTCCCGGATCACACTCAGTCTTCAACAACGATCCTGCTGCAACTTTTATGGCAATAGCATTCGGCAATGCTCAGACTAATTCATATGCTTATGCATGTGGTTTTCGATTAGCACAAATCAATGCAGTAAGTATTTATTTTTTAATTTTGTAATACAGAACAGTTGATAAAAGAGAAAACATGGATGGTGGACGGTTGGAAATAATGTAAATGCACTTCAGCCCTGTGTAAAAAAAAATCACCATCTCTTTGGCTAATAAAGACTGTTGTTTCGCCGTGTGATTAATTTTTGTATCGCCAAATAAAGAAACAATAAAAAACTTTTTTTTATGTGTATTGAAATTTCTGGTTTTAACTGTATTATATGATATTGTTATTCCCGTTTTGTACATTTGAACACCAGACATTCTGACATTATCCTCACTTTCACTAGCTAGTTTTGGAACAAAAGTTTGAATGTATTCTCTATTTGAATTTAACATATAGGTAAAACTAAGATATCAGAAAGTTCAAGCTTTCTCGTGCGCTGGCATCACCATGTTATACCGTCTTTTAGTTGGTTTACAAGTTTATTCAAAATATGTTTTTAAACAATTTGTAACTTAGTCTATTTACACCGAAATGCATAATATTGCAAAAGAAAATCCAGAGTCTTTTCTGTTTCCCCTCGTTAAAAGGCATAAAACACGTGTCGTCAACAATTTCGTGGTTCCATGGAAGTATTAATATTAAATTGAATATAATACTTTCATGGTTATACCAGTCATTAATGCCGTTTACTAAGAAGTGCTGAAGTGATAAAAGAGAATGTATACCACAAAAAAATACATAAATAAATAATGATTTACCGATGTAAAACCCACTTAATACGAAATATGTATTGAAGTAATTTTTGTATTGTAGCTCTCTGCATATCAGTTAAATATATTAATATTTACCATTTTCCTTTAAAAACTTATTTTCAACAACGATTTTAGATTATAAAGTTTGCCTGTAACGTTTTATTTTCTGTCAGACTTTTAATGAAAATTAAGTTAAGTCAGTTAAATTTGACAATAGTCTACACAGAAACAAAAGTAAAAGAAATATCAACTTGCATGTGGACCCAGTCCTCATTCATGAATCCAAGAGTTACCATAATACATTTGTATTTTTAATAGCCATGTTCAAGCACATCAACAGTAGCCGGTGACATCTTGGATAACGACTGTGATGGATGGATTGATGAAGAAACCGACAACGGAATAGGTGATATAAATAAATAGTTATCATTTTAAGAGTTACCGATGTATCTAAAATGTAAAATTGAGAATGGAAACGGGGAATGTGTCAAAGAGACAACAACCCGACCAAAGCGCATAGCCCAAGGCAACCAATGGGTCTTCAACAAAGCGAAAAAAATCCCGCACCAGGAGGCGGGCTTCAGCTGGCGCTTAAACAATAATAAAATTGAGAATGGAAATGGGGAATATGTCAAAGAGACAACAACCCGGCCAAAAAGCAGACACCAGCCGAAGGCCACCAATGGGTCTTCAACGCAGCGAGAAAGTCCCGCAACCGGAGGTGGTCCTCAGCTGGCCCTTAAATAAAAATGTGCACTAGTTCAGTGGAAATGGACGTCATACTAAACTCCAAAACATATAAATGAACTAAAATTAAAAAACATACAAGACTAACAAAGGCCAGAGGCTCCTGACTTGGGACAGGCGCAAAAATGCAGCGGGGTTAAACATGTTTTGTGAGATCTCAACCCTCCCCCTATACCTCTAGCTAATGTAGAATAAAGAAACACACAGCGATACGCACAGTAAAACTCAGTTTAAAAGAAGTCCGAGTCCGATGTCAGAATAGGTAACAAAAGAAACTAAGCAAAATGACAATGATACATAAATTAACAAAGGACTACTAGCAGTCACTGACATGCCAGCTCCAGACCTCAATTAAACTGATTGAAAGATTATGTCTTCATCATATGAAAATCAAGGACAATCCCTCCCGTTAGGGGTTTAGTAACAAACCATCATAAAATATATGAGAAAAACATAACCCGTATCATGCCAACAATTGGTTTTAGAATAAATGTATACTTGTTCATATTTAACAATATTGATCAAATAAAATAAGTTTTAATGTACTTCACGTAAAAAATAATAAGAATGTAATGCTAATTGCATCATATCAATGACATCTGCTTAATATTATCGAATGGCGAACCAATATAAAAAGTATTGCTGTCAATCTCAATACTGTTCTATGATACAAGTATTTACTTACCTTGCCTAGATCTAAAACAAAAATACTTTGATGATTTCTATAAGGTATTTTACACATGTAGCATGCAACGACGGATGACTGAAATAGCCCGTATGGAGAGAATTGTCATCGAGTGTCGTTTCATTTTTTGTTGGAAACATATTTAATGTTGTTCCATACAAATTTCATACCTAACTCCAGGAATTTTTCGAAATAAAATAAAATCTATTTTATATTGTATAAAACTTACCTCGGAATTTTACCCCAATTTCGGTGAGTTACTTAGAAGAACTTTTCTCTAGATTAAATTAATGAAAATATCAAGAAACTAACACAATGAACTATGCATCTTAATATTAGAAATGTTTTTATAATTGCAGACGATGACGGTGATGGATTGATAGATGAAGATTTAGCTACTGCTCCACGAGGTAAGATTTGTATCAAATTAACAAAATGATTTTCCTACAGTCAACCTCCTTATTTACAGATAGAAACTAATTAGATTATATTGAAAATGAACGCTTGATGTGTTCAAGATTCAAATAAGCTTTCATCTTCAAGTCTAATGTAGCATATATGGTTCTGTCAACTGTATACATTTTCTTTTTTCAGTTGATGGAAACTGGGCAGATTGGGCTAATTGGGGCGCATGCTCCGTAACTTGCGATTCTGGACCCGGAACACAGTCCAGAACAAGAACATGTACAGACCCTGCTCCTGCAAACAATGGATTGGATTGTACTGGTGATACGACTGAGACACAGTCCTGTTCAACTGTCACGCCATGCCCAAGTGCGTATATATCCATAATAAATCAATACAATTTTGCAAGATTACGTAGATTATAATAATCCTTAATAGTTATCATTCCAACCTCTTATTATTTCTAGAAATAATATAAGTTATTTTAAAGATCAGATCTAAATATTGTAGATACATACATGTTTGTACACTGAATTTAAACATAGCAACATACACTAGCTGTTACAACATTCCTATCATTACAGTTGATGGAAACTGGGGATCATGGGGCGTATGGACTGACTGTATGGTGTCCTGTGGGACTGGTGAAATCAACAGAACACGCGAGTGTGACAATCCAGCTGCTCAATATGGTGGAGAAAACTGTACAGGTACTGCTGTAGAAACTGACAGCTGCTGGAATGGAACTTGTTATCCGTCAGTTATAGGAAATATTGATAGAGTAATTATTATATAATTTTCTGATTGGTTAAGGTTTTCAGTAATTTCCCTGATCAATTAGACAGCGTTCCAACAGTTGGCAACAATGAATCATCAATCAAAAACTGCAATTGAAGCTTATTTACAAAAGAAAAGCGAAAGACACCAAAGGAACATTCAAACTCATAAATCGAAAATAAACTGACAAAGCCATAGCTAAAAAAGAAAAAGATCAACAGACAAACAATAGTACTCAAAACACAACATAGAAAACTAAAGACTGAGCAACACGAACCCCACCAAACACTGGGGGTGATCTCTGGAGCTCCGGATGGGTAAGCAGACAACATTTAAGCAAAACAATCATATATAAAAACAGTTGATGACTTTTTATTGGTTGTATACAAGGTTACTCAAAATAAGAGAAATATATTAACCTCGACATAAGACCTCGGTAAATATTATTTTCTTGTATCTAAGGTCACTACATGTAATTGTATATTACAAGTATGTCATGATAGTAAGAATGATCGACATTTAAACTTTTACTGTGTACAATTTCGGTAGCAGTTATATACGCTTTATTAGTATCGACCTATGTTAGTACCTTTATGTTTAATAGGCGTTTTCGAAGGGTCAAGTGAGGTCAAACGTCAAATGCATATTTTGGCTTAATTTCATAATGTATGAACAGTAAATTTCAATGTTGTGCTATTTTGATGATTCTATACACTGCGTTCAAAAAACATTTTCAAAAGCTTCTTAACCTTTTATTCTGTGTTTATGGATACATTTTACCACTAATTTCAGCAATAAGATTGAATCAATTTCTTTTTTCTTTTGCCCATTATTCAAATTATATATCACGCTCAATGTCATCTGGCTATATATAGAACTTTTGCCAATCACTTACTGACAATAAAAACTCCTTCAGGTCAATTTTTCCACTATAACAAAATGACCTAGAGAATAATGTTACGCTGGTTTTGAATAAGATAAATCACAATTTATGGTATTTTCAAAAGCAATGTATGTTACTAACAATCTAGTGGATTCATAAGTGAAACGTTTACAAAAACCTTCATAGTTTCATGTTTGTAAACACCGATTTCAGAATTGTTCTTGGACATGGTTTGGATGTAAAGATGGGTCCATAACATGTATAGATTTCTCCTTCCGATGTGATGGAACCGAGGACTGCGATGATGGTAGTGATGAGTCAGCAGATATTGCAGGATGTCCAACAGAGTGTAACGGAGCAGGTAATTTATTTTTAACGTAAGGTAATCAATCCTGTCATAAAATGATGTGACTGATCAGGTTTGTGATCACTAATATAAAAATAAGGAGATGTGGTGTGATTGCCAATGAGACAACTATTCACGAGAGACCAAATGACGTATATGTAATTAATTATAGGTCACCTTACGGCCTTCAACAATGAGAAAAACACATACCGTATATAAAGTAAGCTATAAAATCACCCGACAGGACAAAATGTTACACAATTCAAACTAAGACTTTTCGGGTATATCGGAGCGGGTATACCTCTCGAATAGAATATGAAAGACCCGGAGTATATTTCTCTTACAGTAAACAACGGAGAAGGTTCTGCATTGCCCTGGGCCTCAATGAAGTCGTGAAAATTAAACAGATTCTACCAAAAGTATGCTTTCATAAACATAATGAAAGATAATAAAAAAGAGGCGAAAGATATCAAATGGACATTCAAACTCGAAAAGTCGAAAATAAACAGACAATACATGGCAAAAAACAAAAAATGACGAAAAAATAACAACAGTACACAAAATACAACATAGAAAACTAAAGACTAAGCAACACAAACTCCATCAAAAACTAAGGGTGATTTCAGGTGCTCCGGAAGGGTAAGACAATCCTACTCCACATGCGGTACCCGTCGCGTTGATAACAATTCTTACCTCTAGCGGGATTTTTCAAATCATATATGCCGTTTCCATCAACATGTACAACGGAAATGGTATGAATTAAAAGGATTCACTTATGATTGCTAGCTAAACGGTAGTGACAAATATTTCATGCACACAGGACGAGATAGAATCAACAATTAATAATATAGTTTGGTTTTTCAAATTGTTTGATTGAAGAAAAATTTATTGCCGGCCAATGGAAAAATGAGGGTATTGTTATTAAGGACACACATTTTGCCTTTCAACAGGCCGCCTATGGGTCCCCAAAAAGTTGTTGCAAGGGTTCTTTAACTTTTAAAGAGGTTCACACTCTCCATCGGAATAATCGTTCCCATTCTGAAAGCACGTGGATGCGTATTCATACATTCCGCACAGCCGAACGGACGTCCCTCTTTCACGTTGTTTTTACTGTCGGACGGAAGTAGTTTAGATAGTCATATTTCTATACCAAAGTTATGAATAAAAGGAGAAGTGAGTTTTACGTCAATGTGACAACAACCCAATGACATAAATAATAAAAAAATATCTTGAGGTCAACAACATACAGTCTTCTACAATAAACCGACGTCTATTCAATATGTCAAGCTCTAAATCACACCGATTCTAAAGAAATTATCATAAGCTATCAAAGATCTGCCCTAAATACCAAGATCTCCAAATAACAAGATTTTAAGATAAGATAGAAGACAACCACTGACGAGGTTCTTCACTTGAAACAGGCACGTGAACAGATTGTTATTTCTAAAAGATGTAATATTTTCTCTTTGATATATAAGTGCAACATAACATGATAATACATGTTTGTCGTGTAAATATTATCAAATCTTTCTTTAATTTTCGTACCATTAATTGAAAAATTCGCAAATAAGACAACAAACAAAAAAACACTGACGAATGCCAATCTTCTTGAAATTCTAAATAAACAGCACAAAAACGAAAAGAAAGACGTTATTTAAATTATGTTATAGGTTGTACAGTTTGTAGGTATATGTTAGTAGTGTAACACAGAGAGTGAATGTTTAATTATTCATAATTTTCTTCTTTTTTTTAGGTACCATGTCAGTATCCAGTATTTTGATTGGTACGATAATCTGCTTCCTTTATGTGACAATAATGGGACATTTTTAACTTTTTAACCTTTGAATGCAACTTGAACTATTTAAGTTGGTTAGTTGAAATGTATGTTGTTGATTTGTATTTATTTTGTTAAATGTTATTTTTTTTTACTCTTTATTTATGTTCCGGACCATATGAATATTTGGACCATACGCGTATGGTCGGACCATATGAGTATTATACTCTTTTGGTTATTAACGGTCCGAACTATATGAGTATTTAGACCATATAGATATTTTTCGAATAAATTCTTATTTCCTCCACAGGAACACATAGTTCATTCTCCGAACCCAAAACGGCACAAGTTTCTAACTGATATCCTCTATCTTTTACATATTGTCTGAATCTTACTGTATATGTTGTAATGCCAGCGCTATAGTCCATTCAAAGCGCTTTTATCCTGTCGACTTTTCCGCCCGTAAGTGAAACCACAGGCGTTTGGGGCATGGGCTATTTTTTTCTTTTTTCGTAATGTTTAAAGCATTATTTCAGAAACAAAATTTATTCTAATTTCTACTTATTTTCATTTGATTGATGTTTTCTTGCTCCCATTCATACGATCGTACTGTTATTGTAAGATCGTATTTAAAGGAGCAAGAACACATTAACTAACTAAGATTAATTCTAGATTTTAAAGAAATTTTAGTTCAATAGAACAAATTTAAACACCAAAAGAAAATTAAAAAAAAAGAAAAGAAAGAGGGTTCAATGGCCAAAGTTCATGTGAGCTAAACAATTGACTTCTTGTTTAACAGTTCATTTAACTATTTTTTGAAGTTTCGTAAGGACAAATTATTAATTTCGACGTAAAATGATTATACTGTGAGTAAAATTCACTATATTTCAGTAATCATGTTACAATGAATACGGCCATATCATTGAATCAATCAAAATCTCTAAATATATACCTTTTCAATGTTCATCGCGTTAATAACCGGACCATACGCGTATGGTCGGACCATATGAGTACATACGCGTATGGTCCAAATACTCATATGGTCCGGAACATTTATGTAATAAACTCAACCATTTATAGTTAGTATCACTATATTAAATTGTTTCTTTTTGCACTCTTAGTCATAGTGTTTCCTGTGCTTTTACGATTTACGGGGGGGGGGGGGGGTGTCGAATGCCGATGGCCGAGTGGTCTAAGAAGTCGAAATACTGTATCACTAGCCTGGCAACGCTGAGGTTGCGAGTCCGAATCCCGCACGTGGCAGGTGCACTCGACTTCAACCTTAATAGAATTGTCAATTTTTCTACCGCAGGTCGGTGGTTCCCTTCGGGCACTCCGGCTTCCGCCACCAATAAAAACTGACCGCCACGAAATAGCACAATAGTGCTGAAAATGGCGTTAAACACCATTCAACCAACCAACCAACGTTTTACGGTTATGATTGCTCCTGTGCTTCTTCTTATTATTCAACACGTGTCATTCATGGAGGTATCAAGACGCAGGTTATAGCGTCGTCATATAGAGGAGCGTTTTGCAAAGTGGCATGATTTGGTGCAGTGGGTCACAATTAAGTTAGGTCACTCCCCCGAATGATTGCTTTAGTTTTCTACAAATAAGCAAACACAAAATAAAAGAGATGTTTGATTCAATATTTTACATCAAAATTTCAACATTGAATTGTGGTTGTTAAAAATTAACGCACGTTAATCATACTATCGAAAATTGACATGGTTTGGTCAAGCAATTGACATGGTGCAGCTAAGTGTTCCAAATTCTGTCATGGTAGATACAAACTGATCCATATTAGTTTCACGTTAATATTGATAGTTTGTTTAATAGCGTCAAAACAAATCACACATTTACACAATGTACCGAATGACTTTGACACAATCTTACTTATATTGTGTGTTCAAATATACCATAGATCTTTGTGTTGCAATTCTTTGGTACTCTTTTCGCCTACAATTATCTCCATATGTTGGATACGAATTATGTCAGATGAGCGACATTAGGAGTCAAACGGTAACGACCTGTAAGCTTTGGGTAATTTAATCCTGCAATCCTATGAGCAAATAATCCCATCAATGCCTCAGGATGGTTTGTTAACAAGTGAGTTTTCAAACCACCAAGCAATATGCAAATGGAAAGATTTGTCGTATCTCACCATACACAATACCAATCGATGTACCACTGGACGAAGTATTTTAAGAAAATGTCACGGTTTGCCGTAGCCGTCGGCATATACGTTTCTTGTGGCAATTGCCTATTATGTTCCTCTTTGTTGTATTTTTTTTAGTCTTTTTAGGGGGTGGCGGTGCGTCAATCGAAAAAAATCAAGTAAAATCAATCAAACCCGCTAGGCATGGGACAACACTCGTACATATATCAACAGACCCATTTTTTTTTAAACATACAGTCTGAACCCTAAAATGACACTAAAATTATTCTTCTTTATTTTCACTTTAAAATTAGGAGATATGGCATGATTGCCAATGAGACAAATATCCACCAGGGACCAAATGAAGTAGATGTTAGCAACTATAGGTCATCGTACGGCATTCAACAATGAGCAAAAATCCATACCATAAAGCAAGCTATAAAAGGCCCCGACATGACAAACTGTTTGTTCTGGAGCAAACTACACACACATTTTTATCAGAACCAGAAGTGGTTAAGTACAAACATTATATATACATATATACATGTACCACTTAGTTCACAACTCCCCATTAACAAATAATTTCTTGAATTTCTATAGATTTTCTCAATATGAACAAAAGAAGATATGCGATTTCAGTTAATGAAGTTAACTGCAACCTAAATCAAATGACACTAGAAGGCAATAAATAGTCTTCAACAGTAGACATATGTAATCTATACAATATGGCTGGCTCTAAATCGTTCCGATTCTATAAAAGTGGATAAATTAAACAGAAACAATCAAAGATATAGGTATTTACTGAAGTATTTTTGTATTGGTTTTAAACCATGGTCAAAAGAAGCAAGTTATTTTACAGTCTCTACAAGGAACGAAGAGGTAGTGCCAACTTACCCTGAATTTATTTCAATGCAGGGTCATTTTCAAAATGTCTTTCAATCTTTGTCCAAATTCATAGTAAAACAGCTTTATGTGTGTTGTAAAAACACAATGGCTTATTTCTTAACAAATTGCTAAATTGTAAGTCCCGGAAGATAGCCCAAAACAGCTATTTAGACAGGTTTAAGCAAGTTTTTATTATTTATCTTTTTTTCTTTTAAACCAAGAGTTCCAAGTGGTGAAGTTGAAATCATCCTTTTGAAAATTTAACGGACGCCAACACAAGTTGGTTGACCGTTAGGAAATATCTGTTTCACAGGTGTCGACGAATATGATCTGGTTGTCGTAATCTTTTCCTCATGTGACATACCCAATTAGACTTGTCACCCGGTTTGTACTTACACAAGAAACACGACTGGTGCCACAAGTGGAGCAGGATCTGCTTAGCCTTCCGGTGCACATGAGATCACCCCCGGTTTTTTTATGGGGTTCGCGTTGCTCATTCTTTAGTTTTCTATGTTGTGTTTTATAGACTGTTGTTCTTTTTTTTTTTTGGTCAGTTTTACTTTTTTTCAAAGGGATTGTCAGTTCGTTTTCGATTTATGACTTTAATTACTAGTATTTCTTTAGTTTCTTTTGCCTTCTTTAAAACTTAATTCCGTCCAGATTAAATCCAATTATACCCAAAGCATTTTGGTCTAATTGTTGCAACTGTATTCGAATATGTAGATAAAATATGGGATAACTATTCAGATTATTTGAAAGATAGACTAGATAAACAAATAAAGTGGGAGGCAACGCATATAGTTACAGTTGCCACGAAGCTAACTAGTATGATTTTACTTGAACGGAATGTGGGCGGGAGACATTAAAGACACGTCGGCAAAAAACATTCACAAAACGGTTTATTGTTGTTTATCATTGTCGTTTATCCAGCCTATTTTTTAGATCTGTTCACCGATAAAAATACATAGTTCTCGAAATGCGAATAAGATGGCACAAACGACTTTTCACTTGAATAGCTTTATCTCATCTACCATAAAACTGGAGTATAATCTCTCGGACAATACCAAATACAATATTTATTTCAGTCTTATAAAAACATTAACGAAAAACAAATCTATTGTTCCATCATATAATTATATTGGTAGTAGGATTGGTCAGATTTTACATACGAAACTTTGCACTGAAAGTAGTTTTCTGAAAGATTATTTATTTAAAAAGAACCCGAAAGATATCCTTATATTGTCATTGTACAAAAGTGGAATCGTCGAAACAAATATCTTCTTGTTTATATGTCCATTGTACCCAAGGCTGCGAAATCAATTATTTGACAACCTTGTTCTGAACTAACATATAAATAGCTTGCTATTTGGTAATCCTTATATACCTCATAATGAAAATTGTAACAACTTTTTGATTGTACAAGACTTTATTGTCAAGTCGAAAAGATTTGTAAACTTAATTTAAAGAAACCAATTTGCTCGTGTGTTATGCATAGTATTGTGCTTTCTTTGTAATTTTTAATAAACAGTGTATTTCTAGGTCATCTCATTCGTTATGTCAGATTCCCACCAAGCCCTATAATGTAAAAACAAGTTGACGCGGTATGATTGCCAATGAGACAACTATCCATCAGAGTTTAAATACAAGTAAGTGGATATAAACAATACTATAGGTCACCGTGCGGCCTTCAACAATGAGAAAACCCAAACCGTACAGCGGCCATAAAAGGCCCAGATATGAAAAAAAAATGTGAAAAATTAACGGCCTAATTTATAACAAAAAAGTTACCGATGAAAATATAAGCTCTTTAAATTTTTTTTGTTTTTTTTTCATTTACTTTTCAAATATCAATCGTTTGTTGATTATTATTGTAAAATTAATTTGTAATGCGAAAGGAACTTCTATAAGTGGTTATCCATTTGTTTTCCAATCCCTTGAGTGAATTGTATTTTTTTCACATAAACAAGTATTTCTAAAAAACATTATTGTAAACACCAAATTAATAACCTTTCATAATAAGTTTATCCAAAGGATCAATAAGTATTCAAATTGTACGGGCTATATACTGTGGATTTATTTATTTTCGTGTGTACTAATTTTCGTGGATTGAGGAAAAGTTTTATTTTAGTGGATATTTGATTTCACATTGTTTTGCCAAAGTTTACCTACAAGCCTATAGAAAATTTGTACTTCGTTGAACATTTAAATTCAGGGATCACTTTTACCCACGAAATCTACAAAAATTGGTATTTTCCTATTAATAATGAGTCCACAGTACACATCATCACCGTAAAAATAAGGATATGATATCTTGATTTTAATAAAAAAAAAAAAAATGCAAATACAGACTAAATTCCATAATAAATCTGTGTATCTGTGAAAGAATTTAGATAAGGTTTTAAATAATAAATGTTAACGAAATAGCGGACTTTATTATTTATGATCAATGAAATAGATAAAAACGTGATCTCAGGTGCTCCGGAAAGGTAGACGCAGCTCCGCATGTGGCTTCCGTCGTGTTGCTCGTATTTTATAACAATACAGGACGAGCGGCTCTTTGTTCATATTCAATGCGAGAAAAGATTAATTTGGTATCAATAGGTATCTTTTTTTGCATCATACCGACCGTTATTTTAACGTGTTAACTTAGATGACAAGAAAACACTTTACTAGAAATCACCCTTCTCTTCATCGTTTGACCAGGCCGATCATTAATTTAAATCTGTCCAGGGTATGCGCAAGCCTGACTAGTTATGTTAAAAAAAAGAGAGTGACATTACGAGTCTGGCACAGCAAACAATTGTAAAAGCAGGGGGTTTCTATGGCAAGCCGTTCTCGTCAAAACTATGTTTAAACCCTTTTTTCGAGAAAAAAAATACACACTGAGAATTAAAAAAGCCACACTGAGATTTAAAACCCTAAATTAACACATTGAGAAATCGAAATTACACACTGAGATTTAAAAAAAAGAAAAAGACACACTGAGAATTTAAACTTACACACTGAGATTTTAAAAAGACACACTGAGATGAAATAAGTTGAAAAACACACACTGAGAATTGTTAATTACACACTGAGATTTCAAAAAAAACACACTGAGATTAATATGCACGTTACTAATGAATATTCAAGAGATGAATAATTCAACAGATTAATATCTTGGTCTCCCGAACTCTCGTCATTATTATGAAATGTGGTTCCTTCAACCAACATTCGTAATAAATTTCAAGACTTAACATTGTTTTTTGCTAACTCATATTCATAAGTTTGTTGCCTATAATTCAGATTATTACTAACAGTGTATCGGGATTTTTTGCTTAAACCTGTTTAAGCATGGGTCCCTTTTCAAAAATCTTACAACTGCTACTGTGATTTCGCAAGGTAATCTCTTATATTTTTGTTACGTTTATTTGCTATAACAGGCACTTGGGTAAAATTTCACTGCATTGTTTGTCTTTTTGCAGATTGTTCCAATGTTTTCTTATAATTTTAATAAAGTTTTTCACCATTTGGTTATATTTTGTAATGAGAGTAAGTGGGTATTTTTCTTGTTCTGTTGGTCTTTAATAACGTAGTTTTTCGAAACGTTGTATTTCTAATGTTTTTTATAAAATATTTGACGCCAAATTGAAGGACTCACGAGTTCTGTCCCCTAATTGTTTTAAGCTTGATTCAGATTAAGAAGTATGCTCATTAGATATGTGCGCATAAAAAGTGCGCACAAATCTCAGTGTGTAATTTTAAAATCTCAGTGTGTAATTTCAAATTTTCAGTGTGTGTTTTTCAGTTTATTTCATCTCAGTGTGTCTTTTTGAAATCTCCGTGTGTGATTTTCAATTCTCAGTGTGTATTTTTCATTTTATGTAATCTCAGTTGGTCTTTATGAAATCTTAGTGTGTAATTTTTAATTCTCAGTGTGTGTTTTTAGGTTATTTTATCTACGTGTGTTTTTTGTTGTTTTTTTTTTTAATTCTCAGTGTGTAAATTTTTCGAAAAATGGTTTACACATAGTTTTGACGAGAACGGCTTGCCATATGTTTCTCTTATTTTAAACAAGAGATTTATCGAATGCATGTGAGGAAACATTATTTGTAATAAAGGAATGAATCAAAATTGTGCATTGCTGGAATCCCTCTGGTGTCCCATATTTCCTTTTTGTTTACTTTCATGTTGACGTTCACAGAAAAGGTTTGAGTATTACCATGCTGAACATTGGCCATGGTCATTGCAGACTTTTATAACATGAATGTAAGCACGTGAAATAAATGCACTCTCCATAGAAATACTCACCATACTCCAGTAAATGAGGAATAAACTATAAAAGAATACCGAAAAAATAATTTAAAAGACCAGGATACTGTTACTCTAGTAGATAGCGATTGTTGTCAGCCTATCAAAATTACGGATTCTAATGAAACGTACATGTAATGTAATTATTTATAGATATAACTGTTTTTTCAAATGATATTGACACACAAATGCATATTTACTGTAAATACAAATTCTTCGGTTATTGGATATTATAATTCCGTTATTAAATTATTACTTTTAAATTAAATAAAATTCATAATGATCTGCGGTATTTTGATTATTTATTAAATATTCAAATATCATTTTTCGATTAGAATATTAAAGTTGCGTAAAAAAATATTTTGGTTTCGAATAATGTAATTATTTCATTAAAATACGATTAAACGTCCGAAGTATGTTAACTAATAAAGAAGATTACAACTTATGAACTAACTAAAACTCTCCGTCTTCCAGTCCAAGAACACAAGAGGTATGTATTATAAAGCTTATTTGTCTTTTTATTTCAAACATATTGAGGCAAACAGTTGATACAAAAGGACCATTGGTCCAAAGGAACAGAACGGTTGGTATACATTAATGTCATTAATTTTACACATTAAAACGAGGTACATGTACTGGTCAGTGGTTTTTCTAAAGTTCAAACCCAAGGAATTGAACAGTGAGTACAGGTTTACACTTAACTTTTCTTATTTGCATTGATATTTACTTTAACTTTAATGTTTTATTTAAATTGCGCTTCTATGTTTCGTTTTCACCTACTGCTATAATTGTATATCACTAAAGACTAACATCAGAAGAAACAGTTTTTCAACGTCAACATCAGCTAACAACATTTCACTACCTTTTAACAAATTTTCTTATACAAAGTCCAAACATTGGCCAATGTGACATCCAGATCTATTCATTATTCTTCCAGTGTATTATTTATACTTTGTCACAAGCTTCAGAAAAAGGACTAAACACGAGTCTCGTATAGTTACATGCTGTACCAATAAATCAAATATAAGCCGATGAAATACAATTTTTATTTTCATCTTGCAATTTAAAAAAAAAACTTTTAATATATTATAAGGTTTCTCCTCTTCAACTGCTTTATTTGGAAACAGAAGGCGATATTGCATATACATAGACCATGAAGAGGACTCGATGTATAATTTTATCTCTTTTGTTGATAGAAGCTTTTGTATTTGTTGATAATAGCTTTTGCATTTGTTGATAATTATAGTTTATGCATTTAATTATATTTATTTCTTTTGACTTAAGTGGGTTATATACTTGCTTATTATAGATTTAAAAGGAGAGCATGAGGACAGCTGTGGTTTTGGTGGCCTTCCTTGGCGTTTGTCTTGGACAAGGTTAGCTAATTAACGAATTAACGACGATTTAAGGAAAAATATATTGAAAGAGAGGCAAAAGATACATAAGAGACATTCAAACTCACAAGTCGAAAATAAACAACGCCATGGCACAAAAAAATAAAAAGATCACAAAGACAAACAACAGTATACAAAATACAAGATAGAAAACTAAAGACTGAGCAACACCAACCCCATCGAAAACCGGGGTGATCTAAGGTGCTACGGAAGGGTAAGCAAATCCTGCTCTACATGTATCAAGCTTTTGTAAAAGAATTATGTCAAATGCATTGTTTTTGACATTACTTATAGCGATGTGTCATGCTTAATATGCTAAACAAAAAATAAGACATTAACATGTTAAACTATCATAACTCTTTTCGTAGGTCGGGATAATCAAGGCACAGAATTCTTGTTTGGTTTTATGGATAATTTAATATTTAGTGGTAAGTAAATTGCACTTCTTACAAAATATAACACTGTAAAATTATATGATATAGTGAATATAGTTTAGAAAAATAAGAAAGGACAATTATGATACGTATGTATATTCTTGTAAAAAAAATCAGAAAGAATAAAAATAAATATTGTTGCTAAATAATATTCGTCACTTTTTCACTTTTTACAAAATGACATTTTAATTCAAATGCATCAAGTATTTTTATATTTTGAAAGGGACAAACGGAAATGACCTCGAGTTGTTTGTAACAACATCGTCAAACACACCTGTAGATGTAACTGTTACCGCACCTCTTTACTCACCCGGAACAACTCTTGGATCAACTTCTGTCAGCAGAGGAAATATACAAAAAATAAGTCTATCTTACAATCTGAGAGGATCTGGTGTAGAACTAAGCAACAAAGGGATTTTAATTGAGGCTACAGAAGAAATAACAGTTTTTGGAGTTAACAAAGAAACATACTCTACCGATGGTTTCGTTGCTTTTCCCACGGATACACTAGGAACAGAATACATACTGATCACATGGTCCTCTGATGGACAGTTTATGATCACTGGTGTAACAGATGGCACCACTGTAACTATTACACTTCCGACATTTATTTCTTCTACCTTATCGGTCACTTACAATGGGAACACATACTCCAACGGCGAATCGTTCACAGTTACCCTTGATCGCTACCAGACATTTCACTGCTACCAAAACGATGGTGACTTCACAGGAACAAGGATCGAATCTTCGAATCCTGTAACAGTTTTTAGTGGTGCAAAAAAAGTAGGAGTCACTGATACCATGACAGGTGCGAGTTCTGACCATCTTGTGGAACAGATGATGCCAGTGGATACTTGGGGCAAAGACTTCGTCACCATAAGTACACCAGATAGAACTGTAGGTGATTACTTCAGAATAGTGGCAAGTGAAGATTCCACTACTGTTTCATTGGCCGGTTCAACACATGGAACCATAAATGCATATGAATACATTGAACTGAATGTCGACACAGGGGATTATAAAACCATCACATCTGATAAAGCAGTGATGATTGTTATGTTCGGAAAAACCGTTAGTTCCCAGAATGGAGATGCACCAAATGGCGGTGATCCACAGATGACGGTAATACCACCTCTTCCTCAATTTCCGTCAGACTATACATTTAGCACGGTAGAAACTCCTACTGGCGATTTTACAAATTACGCCCTGGTTGTCATAGATACGTCAAAAACTTCAGATTTGATGGTAGATAATGTTGCGGCTAGTACGAGTTGGACTTCTATTTCCGGATCAGCAAATTTGGTAGCTGCAACGTTCGATATCACACCCGGTTCTCATTCAATCTTCAACAACGATCCAACTGCAACATTCATGTCCATAGCATTTGGCAATGCTCAGACTAACTCATATGCTTACGCATGTGGATTCAGACTTGCAACTATTAATGGGGTGAGATTTATCTATAAAATCAACTTTGTGACGTTGTTTAAATGACTAGTTAAATTATTGTTTGTTTTTCATTTTTATTAATTCCTCATATCATTTTGCATTTTAGAGCAATTCGGTTTGTATACTATTAAATAGCTCTTTATAACCTTAACAAGAACTAGCTACAATGAAGGTCATACTCATTTGTAATAGTGATCAAGTTGTATGTCTTACATATGCGTTACTTTTCTTTTGTGTACTGCTTACCTGATATGATATATGTTCTTGAGTTTTGTTTGTCTCTTCCAGTTTACATTTATTAAAAAGTAGTTTATTTTATAATTAAGCCATGTAGCACCACATCAACAGTGGCCGGTGATATAGTTGATAACGATTGTGATGGATGGCTTGACGAGGAAACTGACAACGGCATAGGTAAGTCATATATCTATTCAGATAATTAGGGTCGAGGAAACTAATAACGGCATAGGTAAGTCATATATCTATTCAGATAATTATGGTCGAGGAAACTAATTACGGCATAGGTTAGACATGAATTTAAACAGATGATTGGCGAGGAAACTGACCGCTGCATAAGAAGGTCATACATCTACACAGATAAGTATGCTAGATGGCTGTTACGTCCAGTGCCAATTATATGCATATTCAGAACGTGATTCGTCTAAACTCGGCCAATTTCGTTCCTCTATCTAACGGATAGAATGAGAGTAGCGGATTCACCCGAAGATTGCCGATTGATGAATTATATGGACCCTGCTTTGTACTGAACCGACATCAGGTGCGTCGGCAGGGTAAACGTCGATTGCTATACATACATCACACGTCATACTAAACAAATCATACATCTACATAAGTAATGATTGACGAGGAAACTAACGGTATAGATAAGTCATAAATCTACAAAGAAGCTAGCATAAAAAAGAACATTGTCAAGAGTTTACGAAAAAAGTGTGGATTAAGTAAAAATTTGACTGCAAATCTTAACTCAATGAGTGACCCAAAAGATCTATTTGTTCTCAACATCATAAAATTTGTAAAAAAATATAAGAATGCAGTATGATAGCAAAAAATGTGTAATATTTTCTATACTCGTATTTTCAAATTATTGTTTTGTAATGAATAACATTTTTATTGTATTTGATAAATATTTTGGGTTTTCTTTTGCTGGCAATTTACTTATTCTTATTGTATTGAGATGAAACAATTTTTGAGATTATTATTATGTCTTGAAAAGTAGGAAACGAAGGGATATGTATTTGCTGCAAACATGAGTATCCTTTTGACGTTTCGGTTTCCCTTTTTAAAATCGCGTATGTTTACTTGTGGTTTTCAAATGTCCTATTTTCAATTTTTTTTTTAATAATTTTTTATCTTTTGTTGTTGCTGAAATAACACTTAATGAAGGAACAGTAGACATTAATGATACATTTGCATTAACGTAAGCGTAACATAGAATTAATCAAATACAATCTAATATTGGTTCATGGTTAAAATATCTACATTAACATTGTATCATTTTAATTGCAGATGATGATGGTGATGGATTAATAGATGAAGATTTAGCAAATCCTCCACGAGGTAAAGACTTAATTTGATTTCAGAGCCGTGTAATAATAATAAAATTCAATGGCTGTCTTTTAATTAGTTCATGGGTTTTGGCTGGGTTCTTGTTGCTTAATGTGTTGTTGTTTTTGTTGTTTTTTGTTGTTGTTTATTTTTAGGGAACTATTACCTGTAGTACATACTGTGTCCAGATTTTATACACTTCTGTATCTATTCTTTTTCGAAATACATATGTATTCTGGTTGTGTCACGCTACAGTTGTCGTAGACTTTTATAAGATGATTTAATATACATTTTTTTAATAAAACATGTTATACAATTCAATAGATCATTATATTTTATTTAAGTTAATGGCGACTGGACAGATTGGGCTACTTGGGGCGCATGCTCATTGACATGTGATTCTGGTTCCGGAAGCCAATCTCGATCAAGAAATTGTACAAATCCCGCACCAGCTAATAATGGGTTAGATTGTTCCGGTGACTCAACAGAGACTCAGTCTTGTTCTTCAACAGTACCATGTCCAAGTAGGTATTCAATTTGTGTGAAAAGGAATTATGTCGACATTGAATAATGAATAAAAAAACGGAAAATCAACCAGAGAAACTAGCTCGTTCACTTATTTGCTTTTTCGTAAGCAGACTTTCCAAAGATAGCAGTCTATGACAACAAACATTTTTAATAGAAAAACAAAGGATATGGGATATCCATCCATGACACAAAATCAGTACATGCACAGCAAAACAAACCACACAGTAAGCAAAGGAAAAGCGCTTTTATTGCTGTTCTTCATCTCAAAGTCACAGTGAGACCTTCAACACGGAGCAACAAAAACTCTCACCTCACTGCAAGTTTAAGACGGCCCCTAGCACCGGCTTTAGCGGATTTTTTTTGCAAAAATAAATTTGGATAGACTTTGTAAGATGTAACACCAGCACATTAGTCAATAAATTCTACTTCCATTACACTTATTAACAGACTCTTCAACTTCATACCAAATTTTCATGGAATATATAATACACAAACACCATGCCAAGAACAAAGAATAAAACGTAGCGCTAGACCTAACGACGAGGGGACTGAAGGTTGAATTGAAAAGAAAAATGTACCAGAAAAATCTTTTCCAAATGCTTAAATGTAATGCATTTGTTGGACGGATAGTCAGAATTGTGCTTAATAAAGTCTAAATACAATCATATCTAAACATATACTCGGTAACATAAATAATCGGTTCCTGAATCTAACATACATTTGTATTTGATCATGACACTTTCTACGAATAACACACTTTGATTTTTTTAGATAGTATATTCCAATTATTATCATTACAGTTGATGGAAACTGGGGATCATGGAACGTTTGGACTGACTGTATGGTGTCCTGTGGGACTGGTGAAATCAACAGAACACGTGACTGTGACAATCCAGCTGCTCAATATGGTGGAGAAAACTGTACAGGTACTGCTGTAGAAACTGACAGCTGCTGGAATGGAACTTGTTATCCGTCTGTTATTGGAAATATTGATAGAGTATGTTATTATAAGTTATAATCATGACAAAATAACCAATATAGGATAATTTTATCAAAAGAGGGTAGATGTTGTATTTTCTTGTAAGTGACTCTAGTTTATGAAATAAAATTTGAGACTGCAACAAATAATAAAAAAATATAGAAAAAGCTTTATTTGTGCTTTAAATGTCCGTTTTTCTGAGTTTTTAGTTGTGCTTCAGTTTAATTTTGATAAATGCGCTGCCTAAATCCTTAATCTGCAAGCTTTTTGTTTTCATATTATGTATATGTTATCTGTATTCGGTAAAAAGCTCCCATGAGCTTATATTTTATATTGTTATATGAAAACCGATGAAAATAATACTGTAAAATTGGTACACTTGTGACAATGTACATTTGATGTTTTCTTGGCAGTCCGTTTCCAAGGAAAATTTATTTATTTGAATAAAAGAAGGATTTTTTTACCCCAAAAAAATTCAGCTATAAAATTAAGTTGCAAGATAAAAACAATATGTTGATATTGACGAAATATGGACACTTAATTTATACTCGCTGTGAGAGAGGAGAGCAGCTACAGTTTTCGTTGAAATATATATTTGTAACGATAGAAACCTAAAAAAAAAATTACTAGAATCAATTAAAACTGTGTTAATTAAACTTGAAATATATTCTATTTCAGAATTGTTCTTGGACATGGTTTGGATGTAAAGATGGTTCCATTACATGTATAGATTTCTCCTTCCGATGTGATGGTACTGAGGACTGCGATGATGGCAGCGATGAGTCAGCGGAAATTGCTGGATGTCCAACAGGGTGCAACGGAGCAGGTACGTGAATATAAAAGAGAGTATGACGAAAAGAGGGTATGCTTTCTCGAAGTCCGTCGTGTTTTGCAATGAAGGATCAGTCTGTCGATGAAGATAAAAAGGAGCATTTTCAAATGTTTTTTTTTTATGTAATATAGGCAACTTTTGTTTCTATATATAAAATTAAAAATCTTTGATTTAAAAAATGTTAAATTTTAACTTCACATCATTGAAGTTTAACTATTTCTAACTAGTGATATATATTTATAAATACATATATATATACAAAGAAAATGAAAAGGGAGTCCATACAAATATTTCGCTGTATTAAAGATAGTTTACACTATATCAACCGGTTTCAATTCTCATGCAAGATAGTCTTGGTTAAAATTCATGATATGAATATATCTAAATAGATAAATAAAAGTAGATGTGATGTTATACTTCCATGAGACAGCAAACCAGCAAACCAACAACCAAACATATGCTATTCCCACCATTTGCCATCAACACAAAATCCCCCAAAACGAATAAACATAAAGATATGACCTATAACAATTACTGTTATTTGTTTTCCAGGCTCCTTGAAGCTGTCAAGTGTGTTAATAGGTACAGCGTTAATGTTTCTGGTAACGCTTTGTCTCAACAGCAAAATGTAAAAACGCATCCGACGACGGCTACACACGACAGCCGAAGATGAATGATTTGAGGATGAAGATGAGTTTCAGCAGAAATTATTTCATTTTTAATATATTGTTATGTATACTAAAATGATTTTGGATTTTATTTTAATTTATTGTCAGTTTCAAATGAAATTAAGTTCATCCAATAAAACTTAGTTTATACTTTTATTTAGTCAGTCTGGTGAATAGTTGGCTCATTGGCAATCATACCACCTTCCGCTTCCTAAAGCGGGTGGTATATAGTGATGGGAGAGTCCGTCTTACATTTATTTAGTCATTGTTCGTCCGTTCGTTCGTCCTTCTGTCTCGCACTCGTATCAGAAACTGCTCTTGAATCGCCGGACATAATTTTCTAAAACTTTTATAGAATCTTATTACTTTGACTTTCGGATGAGGATGACTGGTTAATAGAAATATGGTCACATTGGTCTCCTTTCGACCGTCAGTAAAACCCTTGCTAAAGTGCGTCCGTTTTGCAGCCTATATAACTAAAAATCGGATGCCTCGTGTAGAAATAGTGCCACGCTCTCTGCACGAAAAGAACCCATGCAACACCTCATTGGGGGGTCCATGGGTAGCTTGTTTCCAGTGGCAGTCCAAATTTCCCCTACCTTCACCCCGGAAGCCATCTGTTACAGGACGTACCTATTGTATTTATTATTAACTTGTTCTCGTTCTGCCACTAGAAGTTAAGCAAACATCAACCAATCAAAACTTTTGGATGACATAACTTCGTCATATCTGTACATCGAAGTACACATTGTATCTGCTTCTAAAAAAAAATAATCAAATTAAACTTTCTCAGAATCTTTACCATATGACGTCATTGTGCACCTCCTATTTTTAGATTCATTTTTGCATGGTGCTTCCCTTAACAAAGGACTTTGCCATCGCTTTATTTGGTGGTATCTATTTTGTATCGGCAACTCCTACGAAACCCGTTACTACAATAAATCAAAACTTTCTCACAATCGTAATGACATCAACTGTACCAATTTTACTGCACCATTTCGACAATTAATGTCTCTTCAGTGATACTGGAGGCCAAACTACCAAGACTTACACGTTGTACAAAGATGGAGAGCTGATAACACCAAAAGTAAAGCAAAACTTGGTTAAGGAAGCAGAGCTGTACTTGGGGTGATATATTCCTTGATTTTAAACTATTTCCAAAATCTACAACTGCAAATTTCAAAAAACAATATTAGTATTATTATGCATGTGCCGAAGTATTAGCTACTTGGCTAGTGATACCCTTATCTAACTAATGCTATTGTATTTTTATTTGAAACATTTTTCGCGATTTGCAATACCATTGTGCCTCTCTTTATTTTTTTTTTACCCCTTACCAAAGCATTACCGTTGCAATAGGCATGGGTATTATTTTGTAAGCTTTGCTCGCAGTACCGCCCTCCAGAAGCTGAACGATTATAATAAAATTCTCATTGAAAAAAACATGTTTTATTAAATTATTTGTGAGGACATGTGCTTACGATGCTACACTGGTGCTACGCCAATAATCTGTGCTTTTTTTGTTGTTAAATAGGAGAATGTCATGTCATAGATAAATGAGAGCTTTAAGGGGTGAAAATGCTAGATATTGAAAAAAATATTACTATGCTGAAATAAACATTTATCAGACGGTTGTTAAAAACAAGCTAGTAGAAAATAAGTAAAATAAAATCGAGAGCCAATTACATCTAGATCCTGATTTTTTTAGGTTGGGAGTTCGAATCCTTACTTCTAAAATACTTTTCATTGATTCAGCATTCTGATGACTTGTTTTCAGTCGTCTGTGTCGATCTTGTCTAAATGATGTGACATTTGTGAAAAAGTTAAATACTAACACGAAAATCATAAGTTGAAGAGTTGATAAGGGACAAACATTACCGTGGTCATACCGTGGTCATACAAAAAAACATATTCACATGTTTACATGGGTGTGAACAATTTGGATCGATTCAAAAATACGTAAACCTGTGTGGGTTAAATACAGTGGACGTGCATTAGTGAACAGACTGTACTTGGGCGCAGACATGTTTACGTATGAAATGCACGATGCAATTTATGAAATATACGTGTTAAAACAGCATTGTCAAATTGGTTTAATGTATAAATATTGGTTTTGTGCTTTGAACAGTACTTTATTTGAACCTCTACGTTATTTTTTACACGTAAATGCACAAACATATTACTTTTTTTTTTAGGAATCAGTTTTTTTTTCACTCGATACAACACGGACGCAATCGATAAAACAGGGACTGCTCTCGAAAAAACACGGACAACTCTACAAAATAATGTCATTTTCAATGAAATAACAAGAATTTTTGTAAAGTGCCTGTATATCTAAGTATAATTATATAGATTCCATGAATGCATATCCTTTGACATTTGCATTGGTATGTGTATAAAAATGGTCTTAATCTATATTTTGGAATAAAGCATTGTTAGGCTAAATTAAAACGTTTTAAAAACCAAATAAAGTAGGATTGATAATGTCTTTTCATCACAAATACTTATTAACCTTGTATGGGATCTTGTATATTAGGTTCAAGCACACTTTTTACGTCTTACCAGAATAGATGTGTGTTCGTTTACATTTGTTTATCATATTCACTAAAAAAAACGTGGTCACACTAAAAAAAACCCGATAAAATCATTCGAAAACACATGTTCCCAGTCATACACTATACCTATAATGCAGTGGCGGATCCAGAAATTTTCATAAGTGGGGGCCCACTGACTGCCTAAGAGGGGGCCCGCTCCAGTCATGCTTCAGTGATTCCCTATATAATCAACCAAATTTTTGCCACAAAAGGGGGGGGGGGGGGCCGGCCCCCCTGAAAAACCCTCTAAATCCGCCTCTGTAATGTGAGTATGATGTTATTTGAACATGCATGAGTATACCTCCTTTTAATGGTTCTGTCAATAGCCAGTGCTATTATAGATATACATTTTGTCAAATGATGTCCAGTTCATAAATTGTATTGCACTTATACTGATACAGACACATCAATCTGCCTTCATGCTATATGTTAACAATATTCAAGAATAACTGTAGCTTTCTATACGGTGTGGGTATTGCTCATTGTTGAATGTCGGTCAGGTATCTTCCTGCTATTCCTACATTTCAAATATACATATTCCTTCTATTCCTACATTTCAAAAGTACATACTCCTTCTATTCCTACAAACAAAGTACAATAGCAATTGATGTACAGTTAAATAAGTGCTAAAAGTACACCCTTTTTACTCATCTATGAAGACTTAAGCTTATACAGATAAAAAAAGTGGATGCATTGTAGAGAATAGAATAGAAAATCAATTATAGAAATGTACTTTCAATTTATACAAAAGGAAATTCCGAATATTTTAAATATTTTAAATATGAAAAGTAATGAGGAAGAAAAGGCTTAATACAGAAATGAAAAATTCATCAAATTGAATTGTTACAGTACATATTACAAATATAGTTTAAAAATTGAGTCGTTATCTTGATAGAAAGCTTTGATGCTGATATAAATGCGACAAAAGTATAAGGTTGAATATGCAAAGCCAAATTTTTAAACTACACTTCATAATACTCTAATCAAGATAGTCCACAGTACCCAAATGCTGCATGCATCGCACCTAGGACCATAGATAGGACCAATTCACGTATTAGTCCTAGGTCCAATGTCTTTAGATAGACTGATTTTGTGATATATTTTGAAAAAAATGTCCAGCATTTTGTTAATTTTCTAATGGTTCATGTAACTCGTGTAGAACTTTTAAAATTCTTGCTTTATATGGACTGATTTATGATAAATTCTCATATCTTAACATATTATATTGCCAAGTAACTTTGTTTTCTGTCTCGTATAGGATAATATTTTTTTATTGTTTCACAGAATTACTAAAAGTATAATGTGGTGATTGAATTGACTGTGTACATCAATGTATTAGTTAACTATATTTTTTTTTGGGGGGTGGGGGGTGGGGAGGTTACCAATTTATTTCTGTTTATTTTTTATGGGTTCACTCGATGACAAAGACTTTACATAACACGAGGAAAAAAACACAACAGTTCTGAAAAACTAGAAGCTCTAAAGAGCCTGTGTCGCTCACCTTGGTCTATGTGCATATTCAACAAAGTACACTTTCCAACTTTGTAAACGAGAATAGAAATCATGACAAAAATCTCTGTTTTATTGATCTTGTATTGCTGATCATTTAGTCTGTTTAGTTTTTCTCTATCTTCTTTAGTTTTTGCTCAAAACACAAAAGAGGGTAAAAAAAATCCTCATTTAAGGGCAATCACTCCTATACAGAGTGACAGTCTACTAACTATATCGGCAAAATTTATCTTGTTAGTAGATCTTGCCTTGCTGATCATTTTTGTGATTTAAAGTGACTATTTATCTATTATAATTTTCATCATATAAGGATAAACGCAAAAAAATAGTAAAAATCGTCATTAATGGGCAATAACTCCAATAAGGAGTCGTTAGACGATTTCCTCTCTATTGTCTTAATTGTAGATCTTGTCTTGCTGATCATTTTGGCTTATTTAAGTTTGTATCTATCTATTATAACTTTTGAAATATAATTCAAAAACGCAAAAAATTGGTAAAAATCGTCATCAAAGGGCAATAACTCTAATAAGAAGTCGCCTGACGAATTCGACCATGTTAAACTTGTTTGTAGAACTTGTCTTACTGATCATTTTTGCAATTTGAAGTTTCTCTCTATCTATTATAGTTTTCAAGATGATAGGCAAAAAATGGTAAAATTTGTCATTTAAAGGCAATAACTCCTATAAGAAGTCGTTTGACAGTTTTGACGTATATAAACAATGGGTAGAGCTCATTATTCTGAACATTTTTGCCCCTGTCAGATTTTCTCTATTTATAACGGTTTTCAAAATGATAGACAAAACTTGCATTTTATGTTCTATTTTTAACCATGTCGGCTAATCTTGGTTGGCTGGCGGGGTCATCGGACAATTATTTTAAACTAGATACCCTAATGATAATTACGGCCAAGTTTGGTTAAATTTGTCCAAGCAGTTTGAGAGGAGAAGATTTTTGTAAGAGTTAACGAAAACGGACGACGACGAAAACGACGATGACGGACGATGGACGACAGACGCCAAATGATGAGAAAAGCTCACCTGGCCCGAAGGGGCCAGGTGAGCTTAAAAGAGAGAAAAATAAAATAAGACAGAATAAGAAAATTTCAATGAGACAAGAACATGCATTTGTCAGAACTTTTTTTAACAATTTCTACTATTAATATTTTTCAGTTGGACATTGATGAAAACTCAAGAGGTTTTATGGATATTTACCTGAAGTTAATTAGCTTTATGTTTTTTAAAACAACCTAATCTGATTTATTCCCTTGTTTATTTAACTATTCCTCCTATTCCTACATGGATTTCTTACAAATGACTTACCAGATTTTAAATTGTAGGAATAGGAGGAATAAACCGTCGGTCATTGCCCTATAGTGGTTTACACCCTTTTGCTTTGGTCTGACCTTTGATTGTGTAACCTATTCCAGAAGCACATGTCCTTCCAAAAAACATGAATTATATGTTTATATTATCATGATATAGGAAATGTAATGTTAAAATTTCTGAAAACATGCAAAAAAAAATGATAAATAAATCAGAAAGTTTAATATTTGTCAATTAAATAACCTCTCAAGCAGAAATAAATATTTGTAATGTGGTGCAAATGCATGTAAAACACGACATTAACAATTCCGAGTATTACTAATTGTTTAGGTGGCAGTTAGTGCCGAGAAATGATAATAGAAAACACGCACGCGCAATGATATAAAAATGCTGAACAAAGTTTCTGGTCACATTCTTCTAGCAGTTCCCCAGACATCGAAGGAAATACAGGTATGATGTTTTATTGTCAAAATATTTAGTAAATTTTAACTTAAATCCGACCTGAATATTGCATCTATTTCAATTATGTTAATAGAAATTTAGTGAAAAACATATTTTCAGTATTAAATCTTTAAATAAAGAAATGTACATAATGCTACAACTAAGTGTTGGTTTTTTTTTTGGTATTTCGTATCTGATTTTCTAAGTACTAATTTTTCTAATTTATATTTGTGAATGAACGACTTTATAATAAATCTTCGTGGTTATATAAGAAAGGCAAAGTTTTGACTTTTTAATGAAAAAAATAATATTTTGTAAAATAAAAAAGTTTTACCAAATTACTATGACATTAAAATAAAATTCTTCATTTATATGAAAAGTCTCACAAGTTTATTTCATTTCTTCTTCCAATTTGCTAATTCTAGTAAATATTTGAGCCGATCGTTTGCGGTCATTTTCGACCAGAGACAGGGAAATGCTCACATACGTCTTGAATCAGATCTTCTTTATTTCTCATATAGTTCTGCATCAAATCGACTGTAGAAGAGTGCTTTCAATTGTCATATAATTTGAAACACCTTAATGCGAAATGAGTTGAGATTTTAAATTGGATTACTTTTTATACGCCAATCGCTATTGAGGTATAAAGTGTATCTGAACCTCTATGAAGACTGTCGTGTATGCATATGTGGAAAACAGTGTACAGGTGCATTATTTCTTACGGAAAAAGAATATTGAAATATGATTGGTTATTTTCCCTAGTGTAAATAACACCCAATCTAATTTCACCAGGGAATAAAATTATGAAAAATTTTCCAAAAAAACCCAACTTTTGTCAATTTTTTTTTAAAAATCCAAAAATTACAATAAAGTAAAAATCAAAAATAAACAGAACAAAAAAAAATTTCCGAAATAAAAAAAGGTAATATTTCCAAGTACAAGTGTAGCGGAAGTTCTCCATATTAAGAATTTTTCAATTTTACACCCCGGTATAAAGATAAGTAAATGAACGCTTTATAAGAAATAAATTCGTTATCTTGCCGTAATCAGCATTTTACGGAATTTTCAACAGATATGTAAAATTCAGTACACCCCTGATTACACCAAGATACCTAATACTACCAGGAACATATATATTGACCGTTAGATATACTGTTCCCAGATACTACATACTACAATGATCCCAAAAAGAATGGCATTTACGGTAAAATTTCGACATTCCAAGAAATTTCGAAGTGTTGAAACTCTGCAATCTAGATAAAACACTGCAATATATCTTTCTTTATTTTAGACATGATGATGAATAGCTGCATAATATGTTTTGCTCTATTGTTTACAATTTCTCTTACTCATGCCAGTGGTATACTGGGAGGCGGTGGAGGAGGTTTGTGACACTTATTTCATAACTTGATACACCACAATGATTCTCTTAGATAATGAACCCTTGTAACAACTCTTTGAAGGGTCCGTAGGTGGCCTGTTGCAAGGCAAAATGTCTGTCCCTATCCTATTTACCCTCATTTTCCAGTGGCAGTCTAAATCTCTCGACTGTACGTCCCTGACAGACTCTATTACATAACCTACCGATTGTATTTATTGTAAATTTGTTCTCGTCCCTAACATGCATGAAATATTTGCCACTGGAATTTAAGCAACCAACAATCAATCAATCACTAATCTTAAATTAGAAGTCCGAGATATTACGTTAGAAATTAAACCGCTCATTTCTTTTTCTGAAGTATTAGTAAAAAGAGATATGAGTGACATTAACTCAACAACACAAAGCTACATGTTTGATCATTATTAATATACAGGAGTCTGTACCATACATATATGTCAAGCACTAAAACACTGTTGTTAAAATAGTGTTCACATATATTATTGCACTTCATATAGAAAAATCTGTAAATTCAAAATTTATTGCGAGGTTTTTATTGAAACAAATAATGCGTCTTGGTGAGTACCACAACAATAAGAAATCGCATTCGAATATCTGATACATATAACTATATGCAACTTTTTCGGAAATCGCAATAATTTATCTTGCATTTTTGTCCATTCTTTAAAAATCGCAATAATAAATGCACACAATAATTTCAGTTCTATTCTTTAAAAAAAACACCATAAATTGTATGTGTCCGAAACGCTTTTCTGAATAAATCTTCATCATGAACGTTCAAGGCGAAATATTTGAAAGCCACGTGAATAAGTAAATGACCTACAATTAAAAATCAAGTTCATCATAGGTCAACTTTGCCCGAGGGATTTGGGGCTTTACATTAATAATCTATAAATATTACAACGTACAATTTAAGAAAGGTATATTATAAATCATGTAATGGACCGAAACACTGACTGTTCAGCTGATGATATTATATAGAAGAATAATTTAATTTTGGATGTAACGCGTCTTCTGATTGGCTGACGTTGTTTTGTTTATCAGCTCATAGACATAATTTTGTCATGTGACCGTGACGTCATCAACGTTTTTTCTTGTTTTACTCCGGTTTAAAATGAAATTTAGAATTAAATTATAAGAAATGACTGTAATATTTTTTCTGTCTATTCGAAATAACATAAAAAATGTGGTGCACACTTTAAAATAGCCCGCTACGCGGGTTATTCAGTGTGCACCACATTTTTGATGTTATTATTTCATAGACAGAAAAAATATTACAGTCATTCCTTAACTAATACATAGATATAAGAAGATGTGGTATGAGTGCCAATGAGACAACTCTCCATCCAAGTCATAAAAAGTAAACAATTATAGGTCAAAGTACGGCCTTTAGTACGGAGCCTTGGCTCACACCGAACAGCAAGCTATAAAGGGCCCCAAAATGACTATTGTAAAACAATTCAAACAGGAAAACCAACGGTCTAATCTACATAAAAAACGAGAAACACTTAAGAACCACACCAACAAACGACAACCACTGAAACAGGTTCCTGACTTAGGACAGGTGCAAACAAATGCAGCGGGTTTAAACGTTTTAACAGGCGCCAACTTTCACCCAAACCTGAAATAGTAGTGTAACATTACAACATAGAAAGACAAACTATAAAATATCAATTGAAATGGCTTAACTCAATCAAAAAGACATATTAACAAAAGCAAGTAAACATACTCTGAACGAATAAATTTGATCTATGACATAATGTAAATACAATATTGAATAAAACAGGGGGGATGTAAAATTAAAATAATGTCAAAAAGACAACTATAACCTTGGACAAAATGGCGTTAAATAAAATAGTCCATCGCGAGCAATATCGACCCAGTTCTATAAAAAAAGGAAAATGACTCTTTTTATCCTGCAATCGACCTTTCTACTATATAAATACAAGTGTACAGATAACACGAAGCCATCAACGTATACTAGACGTTTGAAGTTTCCTGATATCCTGGTTCTGTTGCGAGTTTACTGTTATGTTCAAATTACTGTTTACATCACAGTTTAATTTGGGGTCCTCATTGCGGTCCGCGTTTAAGTCATGTCGATTTCATTCAAACACAAATTCAACGATTGGGACTAAAAAAAACTACGTTTAAGCTCAATTTTTAATTGCAGGATAAAAACAATATTCATACAGCGTAGGAAAATATAAAATGTATTTGTACTCGTTACGAAACAGGAGAAAAGCTTTTCGAGCCTCGCTTTTCTCTCTGTTTCTAAAGCTCGTGAAATAAATTTTATATTTCCCTACACTGTACTTATATTTTATATAATTTCTAGGAACTATATCTACAACTGCACCTTATATACATTTATAATTATTTAGTATAAAACATTTAGTCGATTTTTAAATATTTTCAAAGTATTTTACAGACTGAAATCTTATACTAGTATACTCAATAATTTATATTGCAGTCGCTAGTCTAGGCGCATCTGCAAGTGCTAACTTAGGTCTTGATCTTATCGCTGGTAGTGGAATATCTGTGATTGGAAATGGTGCCAGTCGATCAATCAGCATCACTATCAGTGCATACATCAGATTGATGTATTATGTATCCGCTCTTGAAAAAGTTTGTTACAATTATGGTATACCAGTAACAGGAGGTTGGTTGAATGGTGGATTAATCGGTGGTCTTGGTTCTGGATTTGGTGGTGGATTTGGTGGTGGATTTGGTGGTGGATTTGGCGGACAGTTTGGAAGGTTTGGAGGCCTTGGTATGTTAGGTAGTACTGGGGGATTTGCAGGAAGTTTGGGTGGAGGAATTGCTGGTGGGTTCGGCAGTGCATTTGCTGGAAGAGCTGGTGGATTTGGTAGTTCTAGTCTCTCAGGTAAATATAGAAAATAATTGTGGATAGTCAAAATATGTTATTAACATATCTATGATTTACGCATCTAGAAGTTAAACTCTAATTAAGAAAGTATGCGTACATGTATTGCAAGGATATACTGATAAGAAATCAAAAAAATTAAAAACAGGTCATAAATAAAATTTGTTGTAAAATGTCAGGATTTGCTCTTCTACGATGAATAATAATACAATGAAGCGAAGTATATCGACGAATAATGTTTTATGTTCCCCGAATTATAGCGCACATGAATTGGTTGTGAAAGCAACCATGGATGTCCCACCAAATATAACAAAAAATATGTCTATGACATATTAGTTTTCACGAAACGTTTGTGTTATCCTGCCTTTGAAATTCTTTACGGTGCGTTTCCTTTGAAATATCCGCTATATTTCATGGCGATTAACAGGAAAGAATTACAATGGCAGGATAAAAACTGTAAATAGATAAATAAATAAATAAATAAATAAGTACATATTTCACTCCTCCGAAACAAAACTTTTCTTATCATATTGTGACATCTAAATACTTTTATTAAGATTTACCTGATCTTCCCTGCAAAAGATATTTATCATTTGACATTTTGGTTGATATTAATATATCTTTTACGATACGATGGAAAAAAACATAAAGTACAAGGATAAAAATCGTCTTTCTGTTCTGATATATATAGATTCTACCACAGCATCGAGTGTGATACGATATTTATCCACTCTCGACAGTTAAATTTTCAAATTTAAAACGCGAGGCTCGCCGAGCGTTTTAAATATTTAAAATTTAACTGTCGAGAGTGGATAAATGTCGTATTACACGAGATTTGGTGGTGGAATCTGTTTCTCTAATGATTTTCAAACAATATGCAGGCAAACTTATTCCTTCTTTTTGAATGATCTGCAAAAAGATGTGTTCTTTCTATGTGACGTCATCAGGCATGGTCGCCTTTTTTCATGCCGTCACAATAGGAAATTCAGAGGAAAGCAAGAAAATTCGACGTCATAATCGGATTTTAACCAATGAAGAACTGAGATCAAACGAACCACACGTTGATTAAATTTTTTTTATACAATGGGTGCAGAAAGGGATAAATTGACGAAGAATTAGAGAAATAAATGTATCCATTTTAAAGATTGTAACTACTGTGGATTCATTATTATTCGTTGGATACCGATTTTCGTGGTTTTCAAGGGTACTGGTGAACCACGAATTTAAATGTTCAACGAATTACAAATTTTCTATCAGGTTGTATGCAGACTTTGGCAAAACAACGAAATCACATATCCACGAAAGGGCAAGTTTTTCGCATTCAACGCAAATTTGTACCCACGAAAATAAATGAATCCACAGTATGATGACATCTATGATATGGTTTTTCTCTTCATATCTGATTGTTGTTTAACGTGTTTTGTGTGGTTCTGTCCTTCTTCTTCTTGCCTTTATTGTGCTTTGACGAGTCGGTGTCTTATAAACGTATGCCAAACTCTCCTTTTCAACATTACAAAACGCATCTCTGTTAAACAAAATGTAATACTAGCATTATGGTACATGTTTAACCTTAATATAATTACGACTAAACGAGTGTGCCTTTTACAGGTTCCCTTCAAGGAGGTTTAAGTGCTGGATTAGTTGGTAGTACAATGGGAAAAGGTAAGAATATGTTACAAGTGATCATCAAATATTTAAACTTAACTTTTAAGTTGTAGAAAAATTACTTTTGGCATCAGTTTTATTGAACGGCTGCAATATAAACACATTAAGTGATAAAGAAAATAGATCAGATGGGAATTTTCTATTAGAAAGCTGCTATAACGGTCAACTCTTCACTTAGATAAGGTATTGATCATTTAGTCCATTGTACAAAGATTTAAAATGATTAAGTTGAATATGAACTTATCATACTATATTAAATCATTTCGAATATTTTTGGCGACATTGTAATTTTGAATAACATGTAACTCAAATTGGATCGTAACTTGGTATTTACTTTATATCTTTATATATGTGTTGTTTTTTCTGCTTAAGACTAATCATTTCTTTTTGCAGGTGCTGTTTATTGAATACATATTCACTAGACGCCTAAAGCTGTACATTGTACCCTCACATGTTTATCTTAGAGGTGATGGTTATACATCTGTATCTCATAAAATACAATACACAAAATATTTTTCTTTGAAGTCCCTTTTTTGCGTTCAGTATACTATTGAACGTTTGTTAAAAAATACTGGATTACACATGCACACACTCTATGAAAAATTATTGCAAGTAACTTGCAATCAATTTCAGTTGTAAGATCTTTTATCAAATTTGAGGGTTTCGTGTGAACTCAAATTAAACATCCATGTACAAAGATAAAGAGGTGTGACTATTTCAGTCGGATTAACATTAAGTAAAAATGAGTGAAATTCCTTGGTGTTTCAACTGCCATTCATGCTATCGAAAAGTCTAACACAGTGGTAAACGAAAATAACTCTTTATAAATATTTATATCCGACGGGCCTTTCTTTATATTAATTCACCAGGAACGCACAAAGCCATAAAATTGAAAGCCAGGTTTTTAGTAAGTACCGAAACTATTGAAGAGGTACAAAATGTATATGACCAAAATGAACTAAAATATGGTAAATGTTATATAGCCTAATACGCGAGACCGAAAATAATGTCGGTCGACGGTATTGAATTTATTGGATTCAGGACAGAATGAATATTTTGTCTTAAAGTATTTAGTAATTTTGGAAATGGATGTTTGATGGCGTTGGTATCTTCTGTTTAAATTATTCAGATCTTTCTTGTATCTTTCCTATATTTGTTGCTTCTTGACGTCTTTCTGTTATTTTAGTCGTTGGTTAGCTGTCTAATTTATGGTCATCCCACACCGTCTATCATTTGTATGTTGTTTAGAATATATTGACAAAGAAACTGTAAAAATGAATCAATTTGTGAAAGGAATAGCAGAAAAGTAAAATTAATACTTAATAAATGGGTTGCGTCGTAGGCGCTTTTCTAAAAGCATTGTCACCAATACGTTCAATTCAAAAGATTTGAAAGCCGTTAAAAACAGTTGCAGAACAATAATATATACAATCTAGACAATAAACAGGTAAAAAAGAAAAAAAAACATATTAAAACAAGAGTTGTTCACATTATTTTATAATAAAACTAACAATATGTGGACATTCACCCAAGTGCACCGAGGAAGTGCAGTGCATAAATATAGACGAAGGTTTAAAGAGTTAGTGCAGAGAAGTCTCAATAAGTAAGTAATAAAAACATATTTAACTATGACGTATACTGTAAGTCACATCGAAAATAATTGATATGTATATGTAATTGAACACATGAGGTGCTTTATGACCAGAAAGGACATAAAAATAGTGCAATCTATCCACGATCAACTTTGCCTTAGGGAGTTGAATCATCAGTTTCTTGAAAAACTCTAAATGTTTATACGGAGAATCTAGCAGATGTAGGTATGTTCCGTTGCTAACTACGTTAAATTCGGTGTATTTCTGTCAAAACAATACATGTACCTCAGCCTTTCGTGGGCTGAAAAAAATCAACATACCCTTAATTTCATACAAGAGAGCACTGGTTCCCAAAATCCTGAAAGTACAAAAAATTGGCAATTCTGATATGAGGAACAGGCGAGATACTTCCGTATTCAATTTCATTCAATTTTTTTAATATTCATATCAAAATTCACCGAAGGTTCAATAGAGTTCTCAGATCCATAAGCTTCATTTCACATTAAAATACCCAAATATTTTACATCTTTTGTTTAAAATATGTACTACTTTTGAAAATGTTCTTCCTGTCAGGGTCTGAATAAGTAGTTTTATACCTGAACAAACTGGGTTTATATCATGCAATGACAAAAGAAGAAAGATCTGTCGTTAATCCACCAAGAAAACAGTTCTTCAATACTGGTATAATGTAAACGATAGATGATTTACAAATGCCACTTTCTTTGTAAAACTGCTGATGGATTTTCAGTCCCCGAGGGTACAATCAGCTATAATGGCCGGTGCCTCCGTTCTTGCATAGACACCCTTTTCTAGACTGGGTTCGAATTAGACATTAACACAGTGTTTAATAGCCATTTATATATATTTTTGAAAACAACAAGGTGTTCACCTCTAGATGAAGTTATTTTTGTCTTCTGGTTACTGTCCAAATAACTTATACAACAATTATTTTTTCATGTTCAAGTTGGTCAATGTTTTAAGTACATAATCCGATGATTAAAGACTATTTAAGGTTACAAAATCGTCCACCAGAATTCTAAGAATTTCAATCTTTTTCCAAAGAAATTGTTAAGGAAAGAAATCGTCTATTGATTTGACTTCGAAAATACGTTCCATTTTATTTTTTTCCAACAGAAATTATATTGGCTTTGTTTCATTGATGGCATCTTTGACCTAGTTTTAGATATGTTTTTTTATTTAAGTGTAGCTATTTTTGGTCCAATTTTTGTTATTGAGATAATACTTTTTCCCAATCACTGGGACACAAATGAAATCTGACAAAATTGCCTACACTTGAATAGTAAGAATAGCTCTTGACATTTTACGGTCCAAATGATGCCTGAACAAAGATACATACAATATTGTGCAAATCTAAAAATTAAGATAAACAAGTTGGAAATGGTGTATTCTTTCTTTGTCCTCGTGTAAAAGTGCGAGAAGTTCGAAGGTAATTTTTTTCACTGTCAAATTATACTTTATGTGAGAACAATGCCAGTTAGAAACAAGACCAATACCGGGTCTGGATCTGCGTCACTGCATGCAATTGATTGAGGTAACATGTACTGGAGCATACCTGATCAATCCCTTTTTATTGGAAAGTTGACAAAAATTATCCTTGTACAAACTATCGGCAAATGGGAAGTGGCTACAGGGCGAATGTAAAAATTTATTACTCGTTACAACTCAACATTATCAAGCTGCATACCATATAAAACACCGTTCTCTTCAATATATGGAACAATAAAAGTTTGACGAAAATTTTCCTTGTAATATGAGTGTTGCAAAATTTCAAACTATCGGCAAAAGGGGAGTGGCTACACGGCAGATGTAAAAACTGCTTACTCACTACAGATCAACTTAATCAAGTTGCAGACCAAATGTAAAATCATTTCCTTCAATTTAAGCCAAGAAATCTTTGACGAAAATTTTCCTTGTGCAATGAGTGTCAATAAATTTAAAACTATCGGCAAACAGGAAGTGGCTGCACAGCGGCTGTAAAAATTGCTTATTCCCTACAACTCAGCATTATTAAGCTGTAGACAAAATATTAAATCATCATCTTTCATAGAAGCCAAGAAAACTTTGACGAAAGTTTTCTACCCAAGGTCTTTTGGACGAACGAATGGACGGACAGACGGACGGAACGGAGCGTTTACTAGACATGCTTCCGCAGTTGGTGACGTCGGTAAAAGAGTACAAGAAGAATAAATGTCCATCTGACATATGCCCCGCTTGCAAGAACACATTTTAATGTTCAATGAACCGCGCAATCTGCGTCAAAATTCTTCTATGACATATGATTTTTAAAGTTTATATAATTTACTGAAGTAGTCAAATCTTTACAAACAACCATTAAGCAAAAATGTACACTGATACGGGGCGGTCGGATGGACGAACAGACTAACGGACGGAGGAACATACCCAAAAACATAATGACCCCTAAGGTGGAACATACAAATAATAAAAGCAGGTAAATAATAGATTATCGATATATTTATTTTTCAATAAGCAAAGGAGTAAAAATATGTAGGTTAATGCAATATTACATAAATCTTAATTAGGTCCAGTTTATAGTGTCAATTTCATGGTGTCTTTTACTGCTTAAATATTTTCATAAATATCCACATGGATGCTACAAGCATAACTGACATCGTCATAGAATCTGAAATAAAAAAAAAACATAATCATTTCAAAACTTTACTTCTTAAGATTCTTTATTTAAAAGGAAAACATTGTGCTGCATATTTGCACATTGATATTAATTTAAAGGATGCGGATTAAACATAAATTCAAATAAGTAAAGTTTAAATACAGTCCAAGTTGTTTCTTATTGTGCAACCTTAAATAGTCAAACGTTTGATTCTTACAACAGTCTCAATTACTGAAAATGTTTTATACATCCTTTGTTTTCAAATCTTTGGTTTTGAGCGTTCTTATCAAGGTATTTTTCAGCAAGAAAAACGCTTCGGACGCACCAACATTATAAGGGGATATTTTCATGTTTTATGCATATTGTAACGTAACAGATTATATAAAGACATTTTATTAGGGAATAGGTTACTTACCTGCCCCTGAACATGTTGTTACACATCCAGCATGTGTTAGATCTTCGTCACTACCATCAGAACAATCAACTGTTCCATCACATCTTTTTGCACTGGTAACACAATTCACTAAACCGGATACGCATCCATAGTTATCAGCACCACAGTTCTATAAGAGTTCAAAAACATGATACACGAGTTTTTAAATTATTTTCTTTGAACTATACTAAGGGTAATGTCTAAAGGTGCTGAAAATAATCTTCATAAAATCAGGTGAAAAAGACCACATCATTTACACCATTTAACAACATCGGGTTTAAGAAAAAAACATTTTCAGCCTGTTTAGGACTCTTGGAGGTAAATTTCTACTTCGTCAAAATTGTCTCCCTATCATACGCATCGATTTTTTTTTCAATCATGCAAGTGGAAGCCGTTGTGGTGGTGACGCGCTATCATTTAGCTCGATCTTTGAAATCGATAAAATTCAAATTGTATTATAACGATTCTTACATGAAAGTTGTATTTAAAATTAAAATATTTACTTCTACCTAATAAGGATCAATTTAATACACTTCTGATTGGTTTTCATGGCGAATTTTCGAAATTCAATATAACACTAAAAAATCTACTAAAATATTTCGTTGGAAGATTTACAAGAATTTTAAGGAATTAAAAGATTAATAGGCGTTGATTAGGCAAAAAAGTGATTTTTTTTTAAGTTACGCAATTTCCCGATCAAAAAGTAAAGTCTGTCGGCAAGGGTTTAAGGTAGACATTTAAGGGGAAGTGAGTAAACGGCGTGCCCGACTTTGTTTAGTACATTTTCATGAATAAAATAATTAATAAATCTAATTTTACTTTGAAAATACTTTGATTTGTGCATACGATACAACGTAAGATTCTTCAAACAGAGATAATTTTACTTCCAATTCAAAATTTAGCTTATGGTCAGTTCAACGTGAGATTTTTAGAACAGTAACCTTATCTAAGTTTCCAAGTTGATTTGGATAACAAGTTGACGTCCAGCAACTGTTAGTTTCTGCATCGTCACCAGCACAGTCCGTTCCACCACCAGATGCCGCTGGGTTGTCACATTGTCTTGAACGGGTGTATTGCCCATTTCCACATGTCACTGAACATGATCCATAAGCAGACCACGATCCCCAGTTTCCATTCACTGAAATAATGTCATTGATTCTAAACATGAACAGTAATCAATGCTATTTTATTTCTTTTCAGTTATACTTTGGTTCGTACTAAGCAATAAATTCCCTGCAACTTCTCAAAAGCGGCATCGTATGTGCCATACCACCAATTCAAATTCCTATATTACCAACAGTTTTTATAATCTCCACAGGTCTCTAAATATTGTCCTTGAAGTTTCACGTCATGAGAGCCATGCATATCTTGAGTTATTTATGTATCACCTTTTTTATTACAATTTTCACTATCTAAGATGATAATCTTATTCGGAAAATAGCAGACTTGTTAAAAAAAACTTCATACCAGAAGAACATTTTGTATAATGTACATTAAAGTTTAAATAAACTGTCATTGGAGGGCAACACATGAATTAAGCATTTAAATACTAAGTGAAATATAAATAGAAGGAAAAAGAACAATAACATGCTTAACCCCGCAGCACTATGTAAGATGTGGTATAATTGCCAATGATACAACTCTTCATCAGAATCCAAATGACATAGAAGTTAACAAATATAAGTCACCGTATGACCTTCAACAATGAGCAAACCTCATACCGCATAGTACGCTATAAATATCTCCGAAATGATAATGGAAAACAATTAAAACGACAAAACTAACGGCCTGATTTATGTACAAAAAATAAACAAAATACAAATATGTTTCTCGTTTCTCGTTTTTTATATAGATTAGACCATTGGTTTTCCCGTTTGAATGGTTTTACACTAGTAATTTTTGGGGCCCTTTATAGCTTGCTGTTCGGTGTGAGCCAAGGCTCCGTGTTGAAGACCGTACTTTGACCTATAATGGTTTACTTTTATAAATTTTGACTTGGATGGAGAGTTGTCTCATTGGCACTCATACCACATCTTCTTATATCTATGATATACAGCAACAAACGACAAGCACTAAATTACAGACTCCTGACTTGGGATATGTACAAAATGTACCTGGGTTAAACATGATTGCTGGCGCCAAATCCTCCCTTTTAGCAGGGACAGTGGTGTAAAAGTACAACATGTTCCTTGTCTCAAGCCAGGAGCCTGTAATCACATCTTGTCACTTTTTTTAGTCATGTCGGGGCCTTTTATAGCTGACTATACGGTACCGTAATATAAACTATATTCGATTACATCCACGTCATTTCGACGCTTATAAATAGTTGTCACATTAGCAATCAAACCACATCGCCGTATTTCAATATTGTCATTAAAAAATAAGAAATGTCATTAATAAACAATACTGTAAATTCAGAAATTATTGTGTGCATTTATTATTGCGATTTTTGAAAAATTGACAAAAGTGCGAGATTAATTATTGCGATTTCAGGAAAAGCGTCATGCAGATGTATGTATCAGATATCAGAATGCGAGTTCTTATTATTGCGATGATCAACCAGTCGCATTATTCGCATTAATAAAAACCTTGCAATAATTTCTGAATTTACAGTAATTTGAGGCCACTTACCAACTTGTCCTTTTGCAAGTTCCACAAAAGCGAATACTGTCACAGCCAACAATAACCGACTCATATCTGAAAAGGTTAGAGATTAATTCCGTTATTGTATATTTTTTTATTGTAAATTTTCTGTTGCTTTCAAAAAGACGACAGGCACTTCGATATGTATTTATTTTTTTGCTACTTCATTTGGCATAATTTTGATTTGCCTTTACATCGTGTTGGTTTTTTCTTCAATGTATTGCTTTTGTTTTATATGTATATTTCCATTTTTAAAGCCTTAACGAATACGACAAGGATCTCAAAAAAGTTTAATGACAATAAAGTTATTAGTTGATTAAAATCATTGTACAGTTTCAAATTGATTTAAAAATAAATAACATTATAAAAGATATACCTGCAAAGTGTTTCGTGTCGATTTACGCCAACTGAAAACTTGAAATGTACTGTTCACTTCGGAATTTTTAATATAATATCTTATTTTAAAGAGTGGATCTCTATCCCAATATTTAATGTTTAGATAAATACCCAATATAATATTAAAACGCAAAAATGCATAAGTCAAATTATATTAACTCAAAAATAATATTTAAAATTGTTATAAATATTTAGGCCTGTATTAATATAATTTAGGTCTTACGCGGATTAGCACACCTGGTCTAGTTAAATGAAATTTAAAATGTCGGGATGAGTTTCAAACAATTCTTTTAATTATATCCTGTTTTTTCATGCCAAAACTGAATATTCTATGTATTGACTGGCTTTCTTTTTCGTCAAATTGAAACTCACTGTTGGCAAATGAAGTTATGCTTCTTTGGCGAACAAAGAACGAGCGCTCTATGTCAACACTGTATAACGTTAAGAAAAAAACAATACGCAAGCAAGGCTTCAAAAAGATAAATTTATAACATAAAAAATCAAGATTAAAAAGAGAGGCACTGAATATAGTTATTAAACAAACAAAAAATTACACAAAAATAAACTACGCAATGTCGTGTAAAGTGTATCTTAACTCGTTTGTAGACATTAACCAACACACTTTAAGGTATCGTCAACCAGAAAATGATTCGGCATACTGTAACCGCTTACAAAATACAACTCATCATAATTAATTTCAAACCAATATAATTCACTGTAAAGAACTGTATAATATGCAATTACAAATTTCAGGTTCAGTGCGTATAATGAAAATTCAAAGTATTGTCAAATAAGAAGTGACTGACGTGCAGATCTGAAAGCGCTTACATAGTACAACTCTTCAGCAAAACGTTACAGCCCAAATTTCAAATCATTCAATATAAGAGAATCGAAGTTAAATTTCTCGTTTCTCGTTTTTTATATAGATTAGACCGTTGGTTTTCCCGTTTGAATGGTTTTACACTAGTAATTTTTGGGGCCCTTTATAGCTTGCTGTTCGGTGTGAGCCAAGGCTCCGTGTTGAAGACCGTACTTTGACCTATAATGGTTTATTTTTATAAATTTTGACTTGGATGGAGAGTTGTCTCATTGGCACTCATGCCACATCTTCTTATATCTATTTCGAAGGGACGAATGCATCATACCCCAAGTCCGATAGTGTGAATAAATTTTCAATATTAAATTATCCCCTATGATGATTGTTTTGTTTAATCTCCTCTTCAAACGTGGCATCAAAAAACAACCGTAATACACGTACCAACAAAATCCAGAAAACTTCGGCGCACACTTACAAATTCAGAAATATACTAGCTAAATATTTCAGATTATACATGTAATGAATACTAAAAATATATGAGAAGAATAAGTCTAGATCTCAAAGGTGTTAATTGCAAAGAATATTATGTAAGCAGGCATGTTTTGTTTTAATTTCAAACGGTTTCCATGTAACAAGAGGTTAAATGATTAAACGTACTATTCTCAAAATACATTTATTTTCATTTAAAATACCAATTTCATTTGAGCATAAACATGAAAATTATAGAGACCTGCTGCAATAATTTTTTCAAAGTAATGTTGTTCTTGTATTTATAAGCTTCACTGGGTTTTGCAATACATGTAGTGGGTGATTCTTTTTTTTTTTATTTATTTCATATTTCATACAATCATGCATTAAAAATGCATATGTATAAATCTGAACATTTCAACCAAGAAATTTTATGTCGCAGGGCTAGGTCAAGATCCGAAGATTTAATTTATTAAGGCATCATGTAGATTAAATTTCTTTGTCTTTGTGGTAAAATTTTGAAAGTAACATACATTACAGAGTAGGTTAGTCATTATGATAAGGTTAGATATTACTCTTATTTTCTAACAGTGACCCAGTCACAGATATAATCCGCTTAACAGGTGATAAACATTTGTTGATTCACCTGGTTGTTTAATGTAGGATAGTTTAATAACTCATCAAATAATAATCCATGTATAACTTTTATCAATATTTAAATAGTACTTTAAATTAAAATGGAAAGAAATGGAATTAATATTTTACTGGCTTATCTTTTCAAATCCAAATGTAAATATACACTCCTTGTTTAAGGTCATGAACAATGATCTTACTTTGTAAACAAAAACACTGACTCCAACAAAAAATGCACCGAAGATGAATCAACATAATGCTGGACTTATTTGTTGAGTTTGATGGATTTGACAGAATAACGGACAATCGGTATTCCAATGGGTAGTAATTATACACCCACTACTGGCCGCCTTGTTTTTGTTCTCATGCGAGGCATAATTCATACATAACCTTTTCGGAGACAAAAAGAATAAGCATCTTGCAAAATTCTTTAATTTCACTTTCAGATATATTAATGATGCCCTGTCAGTGTGTCACTCATTAACCCACATTGCATCTCATATATCCATGTGAACTTTAGATTAAGGATACTACCGAAACTAGCAGGTCCTCTTCATATCTTAATCTTAATCTTTTCCTCTATGACAAAAGTGAAACTAGTGCGATGAACTAACAGCTCAACCATTTCTTTATAGAATTAACGGAACCCCACCCTTTCAACCGCCAAAGGATTTCACGTGCATATATTACCCATATATCTAAATCCAAAATAATAAAAACTGGTTTTATAACTGCTCTAACCAGTTTTGAACATATAAATCATATAACTATATTAAACATAGGGGACATCTCTAAATTCAAACGAAAAGAAATATATACAAATTCTCTCTCGCAATGCTTGTCTGAATTTAAAGTATGTCGTTACTAAATTCCTTATTATGAATTAGACAAAACTAATATAGATTTGGTTGCACGCAGTGACTTGTTCTTTTCTCCTGCAAACAATGTTTTACATGTACCATAATGATGATATTAAATTTGGTTTACAGAGATACATTTGTATGTTGAAAAGAAGAGTTTGGAATACGTTCATAAGACAACAACTCGTCAAAGCTCAATAAAGGCAACAACAAAAAGATGATAAAATCACACAAAACACGTTAAACAACAAATTAGATATGAAGAGAAAAACCATGACATAGATGTCATCAATCTTTTAGAATGGAAACATTTATATATCAAAATAGAAAGTTTCTCAGCTCAGGAGTATTATCCTTGTTGATTCTTTTGTTTTTGTTAGTGTACTATTAGATATATATCAATATCAACCAAAATGTTGAAGGATAAATATCTTTTGAGGGGACAATCATGAGAATCTTAATAAAATTATTTGTATTTGTCACAAACTTTTCGTGAAAATTAATATGTCATAAGCATATTTATTTGTTTAATTTGGTGGGACATCCATTGCTGCTTTTTCAAACAATTCATGTGCGCTATAATTCAAGGAAAATTAAACAGTATTCGTTGGTATCGTTTGTTTCATTTGTTTTAGATAAGATGAGGGAAATGAACGAATCGTTTGTATACTCGTAGACTCTTTTCAAAAACTTTGTATTATTGCTGTCTATCTGCCTACTTATAATCCTTCAGTAAATTTAGTTATTGAGTATATGGAATGTCTAGACATAAGTCACCATATAATGTCACTGTATAGTAATGTCAAGAAGTTATCATTTTTGGTGATCTCAATGGCACTTTGTAACATCAAAGGAAATACAACAAACATGATATAGCTATTCGTCAATTTACTCTTGAGCATAATTTACAGAAAATAAAATCAAACAAACATTTTTCATCTTTCAGGTGCCTTAACCTCTCAGATAGATTATATAATGAGCATTTTAACATTGTTTAAACCTGTTTAATTACTTTTGACCTTAATTATTTATCCCTTATAATTTTTATTAACTATGTATTTGCATTCAGGTATCACAGATCAAATTTATTCGTTCATTAATTGTGTGTTAATTTACGTTTTTTGATTGAGTTAAGCCTTCCAATTGATATTTTATAGTGTGTCTTTCTATGTTGTGATGTTATGCTATTGTTTCAGAAAAGGGAGAAGGTGTGGTACCATTAAAACGTTTAATCCCGCTGCAAATGTTTGCACCTGTCCTAAGTCAGGAAACTGATGTACAGTAGTTGTCGTCTGTTTATGTAGTTCATACGTGTTTCTCGTTTCTCGTTTTTATATAGATGAGACCGTTGGTTTTCCCGTTTGAATGGTTTTACACTAGTCATTTTTGGGGCCCTTTATAGCTTGCTGTTCGGTGTGAGCCAAGGCTCCGTGTTGAAGACCATACTTTGACCTATAATGGTTTATTTTTACAAATTGTGACTTGGATGGAGAGTTGTCTCATTGACACTCATACCACATCTTCTTATATCTTATTAATGACAAATTGATATTAGACTACACAATTTATGACCAATGCGGTATCAACACATATAGTCACACTCCTGTTTCTGCCATCTTAAACGTTCAGGTTAAGTCTAGCAAAGTGTCAAAGATAAAAGAATCGGACAGAAAAATTCAGTGGTCAAAATAAAATTTGGATTACTTTCAAGAAACGCTTCATAATGAGCTACAAATCCTTACAAAACAAGACCTAACAATCACAGACTGCTTTCAATCTCTAATGGCATTACTTCTCAAAGCCTCAAATGTCTCTACTACTGCAATAGTCATTCAGCTGAATTTAAGGGCCCTCGCTGGAAAACTTCTCCACAGTTACATCTTTTTTTGAGAAAAACCAGAGAAGAATTTAGAATTTTGGTATCAAATGGCAGTCCTGAAGAAACACTCCAATATAATAAAAGATTACAGCTCAAAGAGGTATATGACGTCAACTTTGTAAAGAAAGATATCTTGATCGAAAATCCCTCTATGAACAAATTATGGATAATCCAATCACAGATTTATTTTATCTGATCAGAAGAAAATCAGAGGAAATTCCTCGGCGAAACTCAGTTGCATCTCCGTGAAGGAGAATGATTTTTCCACAGATTTTGAAGAATAGAGGCTGTGTTTTTTTTGGGTTTTTTTTTTTTAACACTTCGAAGATTTTGTTGTCACAAAGGACAATAACAATAACGCTGACTTCCTTGATTTATGCAACTCTAGACACGAATTTATTTCAAATATCTATGCTGCAAACAAAAGTAAGTTTCAACCAGTGACTGCTCTAGGGGTAGAAAATGCAATTTCAAGTCTGAATACCGGTAAAGCCTGTGACGAATTCGGAATTTTAGCAGAACATTCGAAAGCTTCTGGTCATATACTTATACCGTATTTAACAACTCTGTTTACGAAATTTTGACGACAAGACAGGTTCCAGATATCTTAAAAGGAGCACTCTTATTTCCCGTCTAAAAGAAACAAAAAGATTCAAGAATAATGAACAATTACCGTGGTATAACAGTAACCCCAGTATTTACAAAACTGTTTGAATGAGTTTTACTTCCATAAATATCTTGTAACTTCATTCAATGTTTTCTATATTTTGGATTCACATCAGGGTTATCGATGTTTCTGGCCGCACTCCTTGTTTCAGAATAAAACGTGTCAAAGGCAGAATTAAAAATTATACCTTCATTTGGTCTATTTTTCGTCACATTAGATAGATATATATAGTCAGAAGGCATTTGACGTCGTCAATCGCATCATAATGTTGGACAAATTCTATGAAACAGGAATTCATCCCACTCTCTGGTCCGTAGTAAAAGATTTATACCATGGTATATATTCTAAAATAAAATTGGCAGGAGGGATAAGTGATCCGTTCCTAATAATACAAGGCGTCCGTCAGGTAGATCTTAACAGAGTGCTGCAGGATGATAAATTTGGACTTACACTAGGAAATATCTCCAGCAACACCGACGAGCTTCAATGCATGTTGACTACATTAAATCAACATACACTTCGAGATAGAGTCTCAATTCATCCTAAGAAAACAAATGCCGTCATATTAAAAAAAAACTCAAAGCTGTCAATTGTCGTACCTTATATGGACACTATAGGTGATGCACATATTTCTCCAACTAATCATACTGTGTATCTTGGGACTATTAGATCTGAAAGCAAAGAGAACGTTTTAATTAATATTGAAGACCTATTAGTCTGGCAAGACGTACAATGTATGCTCTTACATGTATAAACACTGCAATGCATGGCTCAAATAACCCCATCGTTGCTTACAAGATAAACCGTTCTTATGTTCTACCAAAATTGTTATATGGAATTGAAATGCTTCCTTTGAACAAAACAACTACAAACATTCTTGCTAAATTTCATAATGATGTTCTCCGGAAAATTCAAACATCTCAACAATGACTGCATTATAGGCTGTTTACCTTCTTCTAGGTGGCCTCCCAATAGGCTGAGATACATCGACGTCAGCTCTGTTTCTTATATCATAGTAAAGTCTGCATTAATAAAATTATTCAATATCTATTTCGAAGGCAACTTGTTATGAATTCAGATAACATGAATAGCTTAAAGCTTCTTTTGACAAGAAAATGACACTCTGAAATTTTATGATTTACCTACTATTGAAGAAATCAAACAGACTTTGAGTCTTAATTAGCTTGGAAATTCCATATAAAACAAACAGTCTATAATAAATTATCAGACTCACTCCTTGTATAGGCTTCAACCAAATCTTCCTTAATATATGTTTAGTTAAAAGAACTGAAAATTGGCCAGTCCCATCTTGTATGTAGATCTCTACAGTCCACATTGTCAGACGTCATTAAAGGTATTACAAAATGTAGATTGGTTACCAAAACATTTATTACCCAATCCGAAAAATCAAGATTCGGCAAAGAGGGAGCCAGTTCTATGTGTCAATTATGTCTTACTGAGGATGAAGGTATTGCTTATTTCTTATTAAGATGTTCAGCTTTACATGATATCCACAGGATGTACTATACAAAGTTTAAAGATCTGACTATCTCATATATGGGTCAAAGAAATTGGCAAACTCGTTTTGTGACAAAAGATTGATGAATATATTGTCAAATTAATAGTGGACTCAGTTTATAGAAATTTATTCAGTGATGAAAACCAAATTCTTGAAGTTACCAATCTCCAACTTCATGGTTAAAGACTAAAAACATGATTTCGTGTTTAAAGACTGTCTATACTAAAATCGCTCAATTGCGAATTAAATTATTTGCTGGTCAGCTGGGCTTCTCTACGCTAAACCAATAGCAATCGTATAAATAAATAAATAAGCTCTATTTAGAGTCGACATAGTATACAAACAAGGACATAACATAAGCTCTATTGGGCTTTTAACCGACATACAATTTTAGGTAAAACAATACAAAAACATAATAAGAATGTATAATAAGTATACATCTAATATTTATTATATGCTTCTTTCACCTATATATTCTCCTCTGTGTACGCTTATTCATATATGACATAAATGAAATGTGCTGTAGGCTTTATATAGCTAGTGACATGTAGATAATTGCTAAGCATTCTGAAAGATGAACTGTTGACGCCACTTTTAAGCGCCACTTTTGGGCTATTTCGTGGTGGAGGAAGCCGGAGTGCCCTGAGAAAACCACCGACCTTCGATACTGAGGAAAACTGACAATACTAGTCAATTAAGATTGGATTCTTGTGCACCCGCACGGGCGGGATTCGAACTGACAACCTCAGACTATTTTCGTTGCCACTTATGGTGTTTTAATTCATTGGATTTTATGAAATTATCATGATGATACCGAGAGGTATTTTTAACAATTTAGTGGACCACTATGTTAACTCTAATGTTTTTAACGAAAAGTTAAGCTTACTGAATTCTTGGTGTCCCATAGCTGGGAGTACAATACGAAGATAAGAAGAAGTAGTATCATTGCTTTCTCTCCCCTTACTTATATTTCCCCTGAGCCCGCCAAAACCCAGAAGCTGTCAGACAATTCAATTCTAAAGCCGACAAAAGGCATTATATTTATCCTTCCTGCACTGAAGGCATGGAAATAGAGGATTATGTAAGACTTAACATTATATTTTCTTGCAAGAAAAACTGATGTGACCATGACCCCAAAATTATTGATCATCGGCATCGAATGCCATTATTTATCCTGCACTCGTTCCATTTGTGCAGCTAAAATGCATTTTTAGGTCTAAAGGGCCAAGTGTGCTTTTCTCATCACTTGGCGTCTGTCGTCCGTCGTCTTTTAAATTTTTATTAAAACTTCTATGAAACTACCAGGCCAAGTTTGATTAAAAATCATACTTGGACACAATCATCATTGCATTGGGGTATCCCGCAATGGTGGTAAGTCGTGCACTTAAGGACATTTTTTATTTTATTTTTCTGTGGACTTAGCTTTGTTTTTTTATTAGTGTGTATTGTCAAGCTTGGTTACTCATAATTGTTTCTCAGTCACTGAATGTACGATGTTGTTCCATACTGGAGCAGCTGACCTGGTTTGTTTACATTCAAATTCTAATGGCTTCAAAACCACGTGACACATTGAATCGTGATGTCCAATCAAATTGCGCTATTGTCAATTAGGGGATTTTTTAGTCTACGGCAATTACATTATTTGTTTGTATGATATTGCTTTGAAATAGTTTGCAATAAATTGGGGGTTTATTCAATAGGAAACCTCATTATTAGCCATGAAATTTGACATCAATGGAATTTTATATGAATATTTACTTATGGTCAAAATATCGATTTCTTTATATTGAACCAAAATTTATTTTTATGAAAAACATATGAATATTTTTTTTTATTAACCTACTCTATATTCCTGAACAAAAATATGGCATGATTATCGTTTGTTTCCCAAAGTTTTTCTTTCAATTTGGATGGGTTTTTTTCGCGGGAAAATCGCGTAAGACGTAAGGTGCTTGCCATTTTGAAATTCTTAAAAATACGATTTGCTTGGCCTGTTCGGTCTGCAATTAGGATTGATGACGCTTAATGGAATGTAAACAAAGCAATGGGGGCCGGAAAAGGGATTTTCTGAAGTTCTAGAATGTTTTTAGGCATTCGGAAGTCAGGTTTGAAACGGCCATTAGAAAATTGGCATTTTTGTACAATACTTTAGAATAACAATGAAAACATATCTTTAGAAATGTTTTTTTATTTAGAAGAGTAGAAAAAATGTATTCTGCACTAATTGTGTACGCTGGTTATTAGCGTAGTGACGTCAATGTGGAGTTTTCCTGTGTGATAAGTACAATAACAAAATCCGAACAAACCAACATTATGACAGATTATAGACTACAGTAGGATATCTAGTTGAAAAAATGTGTTCTATGACCTGACCAGCCAACCAAGATGGCCCGCATGGCTAAAAATAGAACACAGGGGTAAAATGCAAGTTTTGCCTATTATTTTGAAAACAGCTATAAATAGAGAAAATCTGATAAGGGGCAAAACTGTTCGTATTTAAAACAAAAAAGGTATTGTGTTCTTTCATGTCAAAAACTGTTTGATGACTTCTTATAGGAGTTATTGCCCTTAAATGACAAATTTTTAAAAAAAAATTTAATTTTTGCCTTTTATCGTTTATCTGGAAAATTATAATAGATTGACAGAAAATTGAATTAGCAAAAATGATTTCCGTAATCGGCCTTGTATAATTCGCACTGGTTCATTGACCGCACCCCCCTTCTCGCCAGGAGAATTCAGGTAAAAAAACTTTTTGAAACTGTTTGAAACCGTCTAATGAAACTCCGATAATTTGAAATCGTGTGTGATCGTATGAGGTATTTTCATGGAAAAACCTGTTTTCCATCATCAAATAGAAGCTGAAAATGCTTGTACATGTAAATGATTCTAGAACACTTCATGAGTGTTAAAATAAGTCAAAATCACAAAAAAAAAAAATTTAGAAACTTGTATGTTTAAACTGGAAGTTCGAATAGCACGTGTAAATGAAAATAGATACGGTGAGAGTATAGGAAAAGCCGTACTTAATAGATATCACTAGAATTTCTACTTTGAAAGTAAAACAGTTCCATCCTTAAGTAAAATAATGTTTAACATATCTATCACATTAATGTTTGAAGGATCTTAAGCTAAAACAAAACACATGCGTCAGTATGAAACACCAAAACGGAACCAATAACCAATTACGTTTTGTAGTTTATACATCGTTACAGTATGCTTAAGCTGATTCCCGACTGACTTCTACACTTTTTTCATTCCGTTAAATTCAAGTATATTTCAGTTTATTTTATGCAATGCAGTGAAAAGAAACAAGAAATTTGTAGTGATTCTGAAGCATTTAATTTTGAAATTTATCAGTTTATTTTTGATATTGAATAAAATTACTTACATATTAATATGGATTAGGTAAAATTATTAGTTTTGAAAATGATGAATGCCCTCTACAATTTCAATAACAAACATGGCGGAATGTAATACAAACCTCGCGAAATCGAATTTTTCTCTTATTTTTTTCTTATCGTACTCTATAGTCCGCACCCCTGTCTGGCAGGTTCAATTTTGGAGAACTCGTTATTGCAGTTATTGCCCTTTAATGATCATTTTTGGGGCATTTTTTGCATATTATCTTAAAAATTATAATAGATAAATAGAAACTTTAAAAAGGAAAAATTATCAGCAGGATAATTTTTGCAAATATGTCGACATGACTGAAATTGTCTCTTAATAGAGTTATTCCCCTTTAATGATGAATTTTACTAAAAATGGCTATTGTTGAAGATGTAGGTAAGCGACACAGGCTCTGAAGAGCTTGTAGTTGTTATTGTAAAGGTGGATTATTATTATTCCCCTGGAATTAATGTTTTTGTTATCAACAGAAAGCACCAGGTGCTATCAGAGGGTACAAGACAACTTGTCCTTGTACCAACTCATACCTATACCAATTTGTTCCAATTTTAATGTATCATTTTATTAGATAATTCATAAATTTTGAATTTTATAATTGATCTTTCCAAGACATGTAGTATGCATTGTGTCTGATCTTAAAAAGCAGCAACTAAACTACGTTTTATGATTAATAAGTTTTTGGGATATATATAGACTTCTGATGGTAGTTTCTGAGGAATTTGGAACTTGACAAGGTACTTATATACTCCAATAACAAAATGAAATTTAAAAGGTGGTCAACTCAAGTGGGAGTTCCCCTAGATATCATACATAACTTGTCCTACACTTTTTCTAACTTTCATAAAGAATATAAGAGATTTAATGTGGAAGTATTTTTCATACTGCAGAAATTTAATGAAAATGCATTTAAAAGTATCATGCAGTACACTTAATTGAAGGACAAAGTATTTCAAGTCTTATTATTAAATAGTGAAAATTATGTGCAAGTTGTTTTTGAACTGATTTTTGTTGGCCATGGTGTGTGTTGGAAGTATTTTTTTTAGGTTATCATCATGATCATGTTTATATCAGAGGACTTCACACTATTATTTATATGAAAACATGCAATGCATTTTACTGACTTTGAAATGTAAAACTTTAAAGTCATATTTGTTCTTTTACTTAAATATGTGATTGGAAAATATAATAAACACCAATTTTCTCAGCTTGTAGGTTGACTGTATATATGATCACTAGTTATTATGTAATTATAATTTCAAATCAACTAATCTTTTTTTCTATGTTTATAAATTTTATATAATAGAAAATAACTTCTATATTATTTATATTGCATATGAATACAACAAAAATTGTGTTTGAGTTAGTAAAAGTACGAGTTAGTAAAAATTGGATACTAGTTGGTCAATAATTTAAGAGTTGTCAAAGTTTACATGTACATGGATCCCTGTCGGAAAGTTTTACAGACCGGTATCAGGTCCATTCGCCTTAATTACATGTTTGTCCGAGGTCCATTAGCCCAAGGTTTGTTCACCCTATTTCTTTTGGTATATAGGTTTTTGTCTCTCCTGCGACTAAAGTCTCAGAAAGTGAGATATAGGTGTTGCTTTTCAGGCGACGGCGGCAGAGGATGCATCAATAATTTTTAAGTTTTCTGCTAAAGTCAGTTCAACGGGAACAACTTGTGATAGACCAATGATATTTTCTATAAAGTTGCATTACTATCACATGTATCAGTACATATCAGTTTGACAACTATTTCAAGGCTCTACCCTCTAGGTCATGCATGATGGTCCAGTAACTTTCAATCAATTAACAAATTTCAATGATATGTTTTCTGATAAAGTTAGTTTGATAGGAACTACTTACAATAGACAATATTTTCTATAAAGTTACATTGCTATCTGTACATCTCAGTTTGTCAACCATTTCAGGCCCTACCCAAGAGTTGGTCCAGCGACTTTCAATTAATTAGCAATGTTGCTGTCCATCAGATTGTCTTTTTCTAAATTTTATGCCGACAGGCGAGACATATCTCTGTGTCAACAGTTTATTATATCAAATACTTTGTATTCCTGCACATGCTCAGTTGGACAGTGCATTTTTTTTTGCAAATCAAAGAAAAAAATATCTGGTAGCAATAATACAAAATAAATATTTCGAAATTTTCATCACACTATACAAATCTTTGATTATACCAGAGACATATATAATACAATTAGACCTGGATCCTAACGGAACACACTTTTAGATGCCTACTGGCTGGCTACCCTTTCTTTTAAAATTGTTAACGAAGTTTAAATAAAATTATTAAGCACTTTTGTTAACAATTTTATTGTAAGCAATATTATCATAAATAGGTAACATATATATACAAATATAGAGACAGCTATATACTTCACACTAATCTCAAGTAAATATTTATATTAATATATTCAACAACCCTGCATACCTAAAGTATCCTCTTCCTAGGATCAGTTACTGCAGTTAGACATGTTAGACGTAATCAATGTTGGTTCACCCTATCCTGCCTAATTTTAAAATAGTTTGATGTCTTTGAAATTGGAAGTTTTTGCCAGTTTTCTTGGACATTGTGTAGCATTATTTTTGAGATTTGAAAATTTTACATCTAAACAAAAGTTTTTCCATTTTGCAGTTGCAAGTCAACATAACATAGATTCAACTTAGCATATATTGTAACTTAAAGTAAACATTTTGAGGACTTGATTCATCATCATGCTGTCTTAACATTAAAAGCTTCAGCATTAGTATATGACAGCTGAGGCTATTCATACACATACATGCATGTGTATGCTACATGTTGGTTAGATTAAGCTGATTTATTTAAAGTGGATTGGTAAGCATGGTAAGTCCATTTGTTTTCTTGTTATGTGTTATATTTTACTTATATTAAATCACAACTGTTTTTTAATTTTTAGGCATGGATGGCAAATTACAATCAAAGAGCCTTGCTGGTCAGGGTTCTATGCAATTTAGAAGACACACAATGTTGCAGGTCACAGGACAATACAATTGAAAGTGTAAAATTTTTCACTAGAGAAAAGGATCAGTCTGAGACATCAGAAGTAGTGTATGATTGCCACGATTCCTTTGATCAAAGACCCTTGGATAATTTTTATGAGACAATAAACTCTTTTTTGGAACCATTTGAGCAATCTGATATTACATCAGAATACTGGAAGGATATATTCAGATGTCTAGAGCTATATGACTTTAAGTATGAAAAAGTTGACAAAGTAGAAATGTGGTTACCCAAAAAGAATCCAATGTCTGACAAGGACTTAGAAGAGGCATATGCAAAGATGTCAACAGGTAAAATATACAATGTTGCCATTGTGCAATCATATATGCATATTATGTATCTTCACATCCATACACATATAAAAATAACTTTTATAAGGAGTTGTTGTATGATTCCCAATTAGACAGCTATCTACCAAAGTTCAAATGAAGTGGATGTAAGCAATTATAGGCAACCATATGGTTTACGTCTGTGTGTCCGGTCCAAATCATCCTGATTTCCGCCTATTTTTTCTGCATTGAAAAGCCCAAATTTCGGCACCATTTTTCCATGATGAAAAATAAGTCCTAATCCCTGCACCTTTCTCATTACATAATGAAAAAGTCCTAATTTCTGCTCTAAAAAAAAACTGAAGTCAGAATTTTTGCACCATCTCCAACAAACAGCACAGAAAAAGTGTGAAACTCTACACTGACGGGGAAATCTCCTTTTACCTTTTATAAAAGGGGCAACAAAGGTTTAAAGCTGGATGTACATGATGTAGCAATAAACAGAGTCTGTAGATAATAATACAATATTGTTTATTATGTATAATTTTAATAAAATACGAATCTTTTTAAGTCATTTATTTAAGGTCATGAAGGTAAAAGTTGTTTTAGATACATGTACATATGACTTCCCATTCTCCTATAAAGAAGACCTGAAAGTCTGGTACAGTTTTGTTGCTTAATACAAGTATTTATTTAAGTACATATTGAATGTAAAAGTAAAGTATAAAACATAAAACTTCAAAACACTATCATTACTATATTACTGTGACTTGACTGTAAGTGTTGCTCTCCACCTATTGCAATTTATTCAAAATTCTGACCAAATTGCAATTTGTTTTATTAAACTGAACTATTCAACTGGTCAGATATTTTTACAAATTGCTGTAGAAATCCACAGTCACGTTGTGAAAGTGCAAGGTGATAAAATAAAGCATACTTTCAATCCTATAACATGTATAAGACTTTAATTCCACTTCAATGATATTATGAAAAATTTGTCTAACAATTTCTATACAACATTTATTGTAATTGTCATGCTAAAGGTGATAGGCAGTAATTTTGAATTGCTATAAAAATGTCCAAACTGAGCTTTCATACAATTTTTCTTTCAAAAAATCTTCTATATTCATAAGAATCAGACATCATTTGAATTAAAACATCTTATATACAGTAAATAAATGTGAAATTTCAATAAGTTGTTAGTAAATTTCCATGAAATTAATCATTTTTCTTTCAAAATGTCTTCTCTATTCATAAGAATAATGATTTTAGATTATCTCCCATGGAAACTTAACAGCGTATTTTAATTTAATAATTTCACATATATTTTACTGAATATAAATATAAATATAAATTTGACATTAAAACTTCTACATAGTTTACATGTTCAAGTTTGTGATTAGGTCAGTTTAAGGGGAACAACTAGCGGTAGGTTTCATTTTCATGGAGATTATACGGCCCCACCCCCTAATCATGGTTCATTGACTTTGAAACTTTCACATAGTTCACAAGTGAAAGTCTGTGTTTAGGTTAGTATAAAGGGAACCACTTATGATAAGTCAATGGTATTTGGTATGCAGTTTTATAAGCATTGGCATTTCACATTTCCATGGAGGTTATTTTGTCCGGCACCTTCAATCATGGTTCATTGACTTTGAATGATTTGCATAGTTTATTTATGTTTAAATATTGCCATTTTAATTTCTATATTTGCATTATACAATCAAAATTACAAAAAGTGTTACCCAGAGGCAACATACAAGATCATGTCTTGCATCGTTTGCAGCCAAATTGAGTTTTATAGCTCATCTAGACCGAAGGTCAATTTGAGCTGTTGGCATCACTTTGCATTCATCTGTTTGAAAAGTGTTCACATATCTTATTTTAAGAACCACAGTGCCAATTTTAACCAAACTTGGCAGGCATGATGACTGTTCAATGGTCTTTACATGATTGTGATTTTGGTGCCAATTAGAAATCAAACATGGCCGCCAGGGACAGATAGGCTGTGCTGATTGGTTAATCTTTTAAAATCATCTTTTGAATCAATAAGTGGTATGCATAAATCTATAGATGGTCCTCTACCTAAATTGAAATTTTAATTTTGATCAGAAATTCAAGATGGCTGCTATTGACGAACATTATAGTTTAACATAGGGAAAATTTTTGGAAATTCACTTTAAAATCTTATAATTTAACTATCTTGATCAGAAAAATTCCAATATCAATTGGTTACAGTGAAAGGTTCTAAATAGTAATAATAACATCATGCAGCTATTAGTCTATTACTACATGTTTTATATATTTTCAGAACAGAGACAATATGTTTCATCATTTAAGACAGCATTACAAACAGATATGAATAATGGTCGAGCTAAAAACTGGATTGAGGTATTGATGAAAATACTTCTGAGATGTCTTGGGAGTGATGATATGTGTGGCTCTGCCACAAATCGGCATGACAGCATCAACACTGCATTGGAGACGGTTTTTGGCGATCTTGATACCCCGTTCACACAGATGGAGTATAATGCACCTTACTCTAGTACACCCTCAAGTACCTCTTCATCTTTATCAAGCCAGTCTTCATTAAATCTGGAGTCATCAGAAACTGAATCTTCACCGGGTTGTATAGAGGAAGTCAAGGTTTCAAGACACACAATAGTTCCAGATTACTGTGTCGTGCTGCCTAATTTTCCTGGTATCTTTCCAATAGTTTTTGAACTGAAACGTGCACATCAGGAATCTCATGCAATCTTCCAAAATATACAACAAATGTTGTCTAAACTTTTCTACCAGGATGTTGTGTTTGGCATAGTTGTTTCACCCAGATTATTTCAACTATCAGTTATTATAAAACAGGGAAAAGATCTTCATTTTGCAAGTACAAACAATATTTACATTTACAAAAATAAGAATCAAGTTAAAACACTTGATTTGGGAGAATTGAATAAAATGTATACTTTTATTTATCGAGTGTTAAAGTGGGCAAGGAAAACTAAATGCTTGTTGAAAAGTCAGGACAGATGTGAGGGAAAAGAGGACAGCTGTAATGGAAAAGGATGAATTTAAAAAACCCTCAACAATATTTTTTTTTCAAGTCAGAAATTTCACAGTTAATAGATGTATAAGAGACTAAGTTTGATCAAGGATTTGTATATAGTGTTTGCAATTATCGGTTTATTACACTATTTGACACATCTAGTAACATCACATGACTCTTAAGGAATACTTTACAAGTCCAGAAGATGGCATTGAATGTAACATACAGGATTTCTTTCTTCATTAAATTTGAGCAAATTAGTGCGTAAAAATACATTAAAAGAAAAAAAATATATTACAATTTATAGATTGGGCACATTTTTAGGTCCATTAAAGCATTGAGACAAATATTTCCATGCAAAAACTACCATATTAATGAAATTAAAAGTTATGATTATCCAATTTCAAGTAAACTATATTATGGACTTTGATAAATAACCTGGTCACTGACTGATATTTTATATGCAAGAATTTGCATAACTTAAATGCAATATTAAAATTTACTATTAAAAGTTACTTATTCATTTTATTATCCCCTGCTTAGTGGAAGAGGGATATAGTAATAGGCTCTGTCTGTCTGTCACACTTTCTTGTTTACAGGATAACTTGAGTAGATCTTGTTTGATTTTAGAAAAAAATGTTCAGAAGGCTTGCAATTATCCTCATCTTGGATGTGTTCTTATATTGAAATATTTCAAGAACTCATTTTTGGGAACATCTTATTTTTTGGTTAAAAAATCACTGATTTTGAGAATTGAGTCTTGTTTACCTGATAGTGATAACTTGAGTAGATCTTGTTTGATTTGGAAAAAAATGTTTGCATGTGGCTTGCAATTATCATTGTCTTGGATGTGGTTTTTTTTTATGGAAATGTTTGAAGAACTGGTTTTGTGGAAAATCTTTGGGTTTTTGTTGTTGTTGAAAAATCACTGATTTTGAGAATTGAGTCTTATTTACGCAATAACTTCAACTTAAACTTGGAGTAGACCTCGTTTGATTTGAAAATTGGTCATATAGCTCTTCGAGTATTCAGGTTATTATTCATCATTGGTCTTTACATTATTGGGTTTGAGCGTTCCTGATGAAGGCACTCCAGAAAATGGCTTTGATTGCTCAAAATGTACAATTAAAAGTGTTATTTTCTTACAGGACAGTTAAAGTAGTAATATAAAAAGTTCATCTTTGTTATCAAGAGTTTCTTTAGTTTAAGGACACTAAAATTGTCACTAGCAACTATGAGGGTCTGGATGGGGGTTCCTTCATTTCTGTATATATATTCTTTAAATTTTTGGCCATTTTTCTCTATTCTTTAATTTTTTAACCTTTTTTCTCAATTCTTTATATTTAAGCACCCCATTATTCTCTATTCTTTTTTTTTTTTGGTCCAATTTTTCTCTAATCTTTACTTTTTAGCTCACCTGGCCTTTTCTCATCACTTGGCATCTGTCGTTAACTTTTACAAAAAATCTTCTCCTCTGCAACTATTGGGCCAAATTTAACCAATATTGGTCACAATCATTATTGGGGTATGTAATTTAAAAAATGTGTTCGATGACCCAGCCATTTAGGGGTAAAATGCAAGTTTTGCCTATTATTTTGAAAACTGCTATAAATAGAGAAAATCTGACATGAGCAAAAATGTTCAGACTATTGAACTCTACTGATTGTTTATTCACTTCAAAACTGTCAAATGAATTCTTACAGGAGTTTTTATTCACTTCAAAACTGTCAAACGACTTCTTATAGGAGTTATTGCCCTAAAAAGAGGAATTTTACCTTTTTAAAAAAATTTTGCCTATTATCTCGAAAATTATAATAGATAGACAAAAACTTTAAATAGCATAAATGACTACACCCAGACAACATCTACAAATAAGTCTCATGGCTGAAATTTTCAGTCGACTCCTTATTAGAGTTATTGCCCGATAATGACGATTTTTACTATTTTTTTTTTCATTTCAGTCTAATATCTTAAAAACTATATTAGATAGCTAGAAACTGTAAATAGCAAAAATGATCAGCAAGACAAGATCTATAAATAATACTAATGGCCTAAATCTTAAGTCAACTTGCTATTGGAGTTATTGCCCTTTAATGATAATTTTTCCCATTTTTGCCTAATATCTTGAAAACAGTAATAGGTAGATAGAAATTTTAAATAGCTCAAATGATTAGCAAGACAAGATCCACAAATATGCTTAAATGGCAGAAATCTGCAGTTGACTCGTTATTGGAGTTATTGCCCTTTGATGATAATTTTTAACATTTTTTTTTTTGCATTTTTTGCCTTTTATCTTGAAAACTATAATAGACAAATATAAACTTTAAAAAGGAAAATTATCGGCAGGATAAGATCTACAAATATGTCAACATGACTGAAATTGTCAGTTATCTCTTAAAAGAGTTATTTCCCTTTAATGATGATTTTTTACTCAAAATTGGCTATTGTTGAAGATACAGGTGAGCGACACAGGCTCTTTAGAGCCTCTAGTTTTATCTTTATTCTGTATTTTTTTGTCCATTATTCTCTATTCTGTAAACCCTATCCAGATCCAGGACCATGGCATTTAAGGAGAAATCTTATGATAAAGAAAATACAAATAATAATAAAAACAGAGAAGATAGATTACCGTTGATCAATCAGAAACCATAAGTCGAACAGTACCAAAACCTAAGAGAAAAACAACGAAATGGCAATACACAGAAAACTAACCATCAAGCAACATGAAACCCAAACTAAAAAATCGGGATTAAGATAGCCTACATAGAAATGGAAAGTTTAATAATTGAAATAATCTCACTTGTTGTAAAGTCTAGTTTTCAACCAATCCTCACCATCAATCTCTAGATGCAAGTTAAAGGGACATTTGCTACGAGATACCAAAAAAAAATCAGATTTTTTTTCGGTTCAATTATTAATCAAAGTGAAATAGTGAACTAATAATTCGCCTATAGGAGCCAGTTTGGTTCAATTTTGTCAAAATAAGCTAAGAAATATCGCTGATGAATTATTCACTTGCAAGTGAATAATTCTACCTCATTGAATCCGTATTCATGTGACCTTCAATTTAACCTCTTAGGTAGAGATTGATTATGCATAAGATAGGCGTGTTCAGTTGTTAAAAGCAAAAGAATGTCAACATTGAAAGTGAAACAAAGGTAAACAATTTGGTTGACTGATTCGATCTTCAAAAGCATTCTTATACAGGTAAAAACGATAATTAACATATTTTTTAACCTATAAATGAAATCAAACAGACCTAGAAAAATCCAATTGCACGTGTTCGCAATCTATTTATATTTATATATATGTTTATATCGGGTTATATAATCGTCGGCAGTCTTCGGAGGTCACCTCGATAGTTGATTAGATGGCGTCCAGACTAAAATACACACGAAATGTGGATACATATCATCAAGTCCATGCATCGTACATTGTTTATTTTAAGACTTTTTATAATTTGGATATGTACGTTTTAGTAGGTTATAAGTCAAATTGGTGATTATGAATTTGAAAGCTAATAGATATAAGAAGATGTGGTATGAGTGCCAATGAGACAACTCTCCATCCAAGTCACAATTTGTAAAAGTAAACCATTATAGGTCAAAGTACGGCCTTCAACACGGAGGCTTGGCTCACACCGAACAGCAAGCTATAAAGGGCCCCAAAAATGACTAGTGTAAAACCATTCAAACAGGGAAACCAACGGTCTAATCTATATAAAAAAAAACGAGAAACGAGAAACACTTATGAACCACATCAACAAACGACAACCACTGAACATCAGGTTTCTGACTTAGGACTGGTGCAAACAAATGCAGCGGGTTTAAACGTTTTAATAGGCGCCAACCTTCACCCTACCTGAAACAATAGTGTAACATCACAACATAGAAAGACACACTATAAAATATCAATTGAAATGGCTTAACTTAATCAAAAGACATATTAACAAAAACAAGTGAACATACACTGAACGAATAAATTTGCCCCTTTAAAGATTTTTTTATAAAGTTGATGCATCGGAAGCATTTTTCTGGATCTACCTTACCCTGGAACGCTCAAACTCAAGTATTAAGCATTGCTAACTGTATTTGTAATATCCTTTATTTCAAATTCAAATGGAAAGATGCGATTAACATAGTCACTTTAAATTACTCAGTGAGAGAACACCATTTTAAAGCGGAACTTGAAGTTAGAGAATACATACACTTGCTTATTTTCATTCTGTTAAGAAGCTCCTTATTGGGTCGGTCTTATACCATTAAACATCTAGAAAATGACCTTGACCATTCACCTTGATCTTAATTCCCGAATGGGCTTATTAACTTAAATTAAGAGACCCTTAACTAACACCCTAAAAAAATAAGATTTAGACGGATCATTCACTGACAAACTATGTGAAACCTGTGATTACTTTAACACATGTGTTATAGTAGTCTCAGGTCAAACACAGAAAGACAACATGGTTTTCGATCATCTCGCTCCTGTGAAACTCAGCTAATATCATTTATTCAAGATCTTGCAAATTCAAATAATAAAAACATTCAAACAGACATCATAATAATGGATTTTGCAAAAGCATTTGATAAAGTTTCACACCACCATCTCATGTATAAAATCGGTTTCTACGGTATAATTTGCAATGCATTACATTGGATTCAAGATTTTTTAACAAACAGAACACAAACAGTAGTCCTTGAAGGTGAAACATCAAATAAAATTCCTGTAACATCTGGGGTACCTCAAGGCACAGTGCTTGGTCCAATTTTATTCTTAATATTTATAAATGATTTGGCAGAATATATTGAACATAGTACATTAAGATTGTTCGCAGATGACAGTATCATTTATAGGGAAATTAAAAAACCAGATGACACATATAAATTACAGTCTGACTTGGAAGCGGCCGGCAGATGGGAGCAGGACTGGCTCATGCATTTTCACCCTGATAAGTGCAACATTCTCAGTGTAACTCAAAAACGCAAACCTTTAGACTTCACTTATAAATTACACAATCACTCTCTAGAAAAAGTTGACTCTACAAAATATTTAGGCCTAACTCTTCAATCAAATTTAAAATGGGACAAACATATCAATAACATGACATCAAAAGCAAATCAGTCTCTTGGATTTATTCGTAGAAACCTTAAAATAGCCTCACCTAAAGTTAAAGCACATGCATTTAAAGCTCTTGTCCGACCAAAACTAGAGTACTGCTCAACTATTTGGGATCCACATCAAAAACAGCAAATTTCACAAATTGAAAAAGTTCAGAGAAGAGCAGCGCGCTTCTCATGCAACCGCTTCCATAACACCAGCTCAGTTACTGAAATGATGACAGACTTAAATTGGTACCCACTTGAAATTAGGCGTTTACGATACAGACTTGTCTTCTTCTACAAAATTATACATGAAATTGTTGCAGTCCCTACATTTAACCTTTTGATCCCACTAGACAATAGAACTAGACATAGCAATCCACACTCATTTAGGCAAATACAAACATCTAAAGACAGTTATAAATATTCATTTTATCCACGAACAGTTATAGATTGGAATCTTCTGCCACAACAAATAGTATCATGCAGTACAGTACAGGGATTCAAGAGTATGATCTCAGAATCTGCTCTCATCCCCATTTTCTATCCCTAACTATTTTGTTATCAAATGTATATAGTTTTATCTAAATGAAATTTTACAAATGCACATACATTATTTTGATTTTTTGATTTTGTTTCTTTTTATTTTTCTTGCTACAATGTAAATTATAAAATTTTATAGTCGACGCCCGGCGAATAATCTTCAATAATTGAAGGATCGCTAGAAACTTAAAGAAGAAGAAGAAGAAGAAGATATAACTCAAATAAAAGTCACCTTCTTGAACTATCAGATTGTATCAAATTTACACCTTTAAGCTATTTTCGGTTCTAAAATATGGCTCTTGAAATTTTGATTTTTTTTATCTAAATAATAAATGTGGCTAGTATCATTTAATATTTCTGTAATTCCACACTTTATACATCTCATTTACGAAGTAAGACACTTTTTACTTTTTATTTTACTAGTACATGTAATTATTTCCAACCAAAGTAATTCAGAAAAGCTGTCTTTTCTTTGCATTATGTCTTACGAGTTCTTAAAGATCAGCCTCAATGCAACCGAAAGGTTCAAAAGAGGAATTAAAACTGTTAAAACACCTGTAACTTTGTTAGACTATATGACTAAATAGTTATGTAAAATGTACAATGATAGAAAACATTCAACAAAAGCAAGGAAAATGTGACCGGACGCGAACTAAATCAAGGACCTATAAAATTGCTTGTTAATGTATTAAATCATCATTGCTCGACATCTCCGTAAATTCGGCTTTTTTATGTTCGAGGTTGAAATGGGACCTAGCTATAGGTTCACATGCATAGATGAGGAATTGATGCTTCACAAAATTAAATTCGTGGTTTTATATGTATGTATGTATGAATGAAAGGAAATGTGGAGTATACTTTAATGAGACTTTAACCCATTGACCCCAAAAAAAACCAAACGACATGTAGAGGTCAACATACGGACAACAATGGTCGGGGTATATATACGCTATGTCAAGCTTTAAATCGCCCGTGTCTAAAAAAGATGTGAATAAGTTTTACAGAGACTATCAAGTATATATGCAATTAAAACCAACCTTCTAAAAGACGAAAGGGGCCTCGGTGGCCGAGTGGTCTAAGTAGTTACTACTGTAATCACTAGCCAGTCAACACTGAGGTTGTGAGTTCGAACCCCGCTCGTGCGGGTGCACTCTACTCCAATCTTAATTGACTAGGATTGTCAGTTTTCCTATCGAAGGTCGGTGGTTTTCTCCGGACACTCCGGCTTCCTCCACCAATAAAAACTGGCCGCCACGAAATAGCCCAAAAGCGGTGCTTAAAAGTGGCGTTAAAACACCAAAAATCAAAAAATCTTAATCTAAAAGACGAAAAATATGAAGATACCATAGAAAAGCACTGACTGTCTTAGTACAAGCTCATGAGCATATACACTGTTAGACCTCCACTATCTTATTAGGCATTTAACTCCATAATGACGGTATAATGGATAACAAAAGCTTAACTTTAAAAACATCGGTATTAACAATATCGTAGCAAATAATAATGGCTTCATTTTTGTCGTGACTCAATTGTGTTTCACTAATAAAGGTTATACTAAGCACAAACATAGAATGCATAAGGAGCATATGTTGATAAAAAAAGGAAAAGTTAAACTCGAGGTTATATTCTTATTAATCATATAATCTGCATAGATTTTTTTTTTCAATTAAAGTACAAAATTTAACAACTGTGATACATATAGCAATGGAATACACAATTTATTTTTCAACATTTGAGAACTATTTAAGAATTCGTGAACTGACCTTGTTGGATTATTTGGTATACAACGGTATAATGACTAGAATAGTCATTATAGTGATAAATGTAGCAATAACATATACTATAAAAGATGCCCGTTCTACTGTTTCCGCTATAAAATACCATTCCTGTTTCAATAACATGTTTTGCTGATGAATTTTCAATTCATTGTCAGTATCTTCGCTGTCATCGTAATCATTCTTTTCATCGTTATTTTCATTGTCTTCATCATGATGATGGCGTTCCGTTCGCACTAAACCTTTTCTTAGCGCAAGCTTGTAAGATCTCCGCAATTTTTGCCGATTCAGTCGAAATGGATCTTCGTGATTGCATGGTTTAAGATTACTCTCTGATGTACTGTTAGTTGGTACGTCAGGACAAAGAGGTTCTTTTTCGTTCAGCAAATCTGCAAGTTCCAGAATTTCGTCTTCAATTTCGGGTGTTTTCTTATCCGGAATTACCGGTTCAGTAAAATGCACTTTACCGCTATCATATTCCTTAGTACGTAAATTTAAATCTTGGTTTGATTTATCGGAACACAAGTAAAACTTGTCAACGCGAGACGAAAACTTTGAACAAGTAATTTTTCCTAAAAATCCTTGACATACTTTAGACAGTAAAGGAGGAACGTCTGGTATCGGATATCGTTTTCCCCTGTTTTTAATGTTCATGACCAACGTCGACATAATAAGGGACGTACAGTTGAAAGTCATAACTAAAAATGTTAGAATTCCTAGAAAAGAAGAAAAAAAACGGTCATTCAAAAATTTTCGTATAATCTGCATGCAGAAATAAACAAACAACAAAACAGCCAGGATAATTTCGCTGTTTTAAAATCTAACGAATGCTGGGTAATATATTGACAGTCGTACATCAAAACGTTGTGATTGGCTTACAACGTCCTAAACAATTGGAATTAAACCAATGACGTGCCGTTATTTTCGTTTTTGGGTACGAACAATGAAATTACCCACAAGTCTTTAGATTTAAAAATGTGTCTTTTAATGTGAAAAGGCAATATCCCTTTCTGTGGAGAAAAGGTACAATTTTTATGTGTTTTATTCATTTAGAAAGATAACTCGAGAATTGCAATTAAATCCTCTTTTTAGACATATTTTTTCGGATTTTATTTGTGTGTTTTACATGATAATAACAATAGTTTTCCTCTGTTTTAGCAGCAAACTGGCAGACGACTTGATAAGTTCGGGTCAAACTTACTTGTATTGTCATGCCGTATAAGGTGTTAAATTGTGGTATATTGTTCGTGGCCATCAAGTTATTTTAAAGTTTCAAGGAGATCGGAATAGCTCGCGCTTTGTCATTGGTATTGACATTCTCAAACATAAAAAGGAAACAGACGCCATTATTCTTTCCTGAGAAGCACAGGAAAGTCGTTTTTGGTGGTCCACTGAGCCTTTTTAATAATAAACATTATAATGGTTTACTTTTATAAATTTTGACTTGGATGGAAAGTTGTCTCATTGGCACTCATACCACATCTTCTTATATCTATTTACTTTATTCGTATCTTTTGTACAACAGCAAATTAAAACATATAACCCGAAATGATCTAATTATCAACATTGCAATAATTTCGAGTTTACTTTTAGCAAGTGCAAATAATGTTTGATACAGAGATGTACAGTGCGGGATTGTTTTTAGTTGCCTGAAATACGATAACATTTTTTAGGGGATTGAAAAAGTTGAAAAACTACAACCGAATAATTCTGAGTGCTCACTTTATATGTTTGTTGTTTTCAGCGTTTTAAGGGAGGGGTGTTAATTTCCCTCAGTTTTGCTTCTGTTCATTTGTTTTTGTTTTCTTTGTGGTATATATATATGCAAAATAAAAAAGAAATTCAAATATAATTTCAAGATAGCAAAGTGTTGTAAGAAGGTGTTTTAAAATCTGAATATACCTAGGATGGGCGTTGTATTGGTGTCCGGAACGTTGTCTGAAATTAACAGCTGCAGAACATACAGAGTAAGGAAGACGGTCAGTCCGATTGATATCTTATCCCCATGATGTGACGGTAGGCAAAACGAAAACAACGATAGAATACTCAGCAACATTGTTGGTGCTATCACAATATATTCATAGTATCTAGACTTCCTCTTCAAATTGATCGTTAATACGACCATTGGGTGATTACCGTTTCCAGGACAGCATTTTGAGTCGACAACTTCTCGCCTGAGGCTCGCATCTTTCAAATCAAATTCGCTATTAACCACATAGTCATCTAAACCTGGTTTTGTTTGGACGGGTTGAAGGTCTAACTGAGTTTCATCATAAATCCACGATCCAAAATGTATTTCACATATCTGTTCGTCGTACGGAAAGAATGTAGCATCCACACGACAGACGCTTTTGATCATTAAAGGTATGAGCCACGTGACGTGACCCTCGTTCTGAATCATCAATCTTCCGCCAGTTACATTAACAAAGTCATCGATTTTGTTGCCAGCACTGTTCACAAGAAAAAATGCATGTTTAAGAAATAAAATATATGAAAAGCAATGAAAGAATGGAAAATTGTTTAAAAATAGTGCTACTATCTCAGGTATAGAGACAAAATGGGAATGGAAACAATCAGAATACAATGAGCGCCAAACAGAGTGAGACGGGATTACCATATCCTGCTCTACATGTATCACCCGTTACACGATTCAAAAGTTGCATTTGTTTACTCCATTTCGTAAAAAACGTATGTTATGATCTCCAAGAGCACAACAAGTGTTTCTGAAATACGTTCGAGGTAAAAAAAATATCATCCAGTAGATAGTGTCAAATATGAAGTAAGTTTAAATTTCTCATATAGGTAATAGTAAGTCGGGCAAAAACAAGATATTTGGAGCGAAAACATTCGGAACCAAATGAACTCAAAAACGGAGTGAAACCCCTTACGTCGACATTGTAATCTCCAAACTCCTGCCATGTAACGCCATAAAGTTGAACATGACGAAAGCTGTAATGTTAGATGGACAAATATAGACCTGTTGAAGGCCGTATGGTTGCCTATAATTGCTTTCATCCACTTCATTTGAACTTTGGTGGATAGTTGTCTCATTGGATATCATATCGCATCTCCTATTTTTATACTGTAGAATCTATTTCAGAGGTAATTCATCAGATGCATTCATAAAATTCATGTTTCAAAATGTATCAACGCATTATTATGTCATATGCAACTATTTCAGTCATAATTATAAAGTTCGGTAACTCTGCATGATACTGGTTTGCAATAATGTATAATTCAGTGTGCAGTGTGATATTTGTTAAGGAAATAAATACTTTTCACCTTCAAAACATCCGTTCGAAGTTGTCTTATACTTAATTGAAATAAAAGCAAAATATGAGGACATTTTACTCATTGAATTACTAAGCCAAATTCATACTTTCCTGAATTCGTGTGTTAACGTTGAAAAGACTTTCATGTAACAGTACTTTGACAATGGCTAGTTATTCAAACGCGTGATTTTAATTCACTTTCTTGAAGTAATATGTGCATATAATTAACTTATGGCATTAATAGTATTACTCACGTATTGAAGATGAAAATATCAGGATTCCATAACTTTGATGATGGTACAATAAGAGTGTCCAGTCCGTCATACTCGGAAAGTGACCATACAAGTTCTTCGTCTTTCCAAGACTGAAAGAAATATTTCAACAGTACCAATGATCTTGCAAACTATAGATTACCCTTCCGGATTGTAGTATGTAAATTTACAATATAAATTTTGAAACCCATTGAAATATTTTCTTGAGAATTATTCGAAAAGACTTCCAAATTTTCATAAATTTGATGCAAAATGACGGTGGGCATGGATACCATAAACAAGCTCCATTGGAAGATGGTCATGATACTATTTGACTTCAATTTCTAAAACAGAATAATAAAGTACTAATACCACACATAACTGTTTTGTCCAGATTTTATTATGAAAAGTGGTAATTTTAGAAAAAAATTAGTATTGTCGCCTATGGAAGAATAAATACTACCGTTTTCCCATAACTTCTTAGTATGAATATTTGTGACGTCAAATAAATTCCAGAATATTTTACGGTATGGAAAATTTGTCATTCAAAGTGCACACAGAATTCATTTGCAAATAAACGCAAAAAATGTGTATATGCATATACGAGTAGATATGCAAATGCGATAACAGTCTGTACAACATAAACTGTATCTCTTTCAGTTTTAGTCACGCCGCTTTTTCCTGAATATTCGGCAAATTTGTTCATTTAGTATTAAAGAAAAAACAGTGATGCTATGGATTAAAGCATTGTAAAAGCCGATGCAATGACGGATGAACTACAAACCTCCGTTATCCAAACAGAAGAAGTCAGTATCTGTTTCTTCTCATCCTACAAAAATCAAGTTATCTGAATATATAGGATGACAAACGAAAGCGTATTAAATAGATGATAAATTAAATGTATCCACCTGAAATCTATCTTACTAAAGCAAACATTATTAAGCCTTTTTCAACTGATTTTTACATCGGATGTGACCTTAAGTGGTCATACCGGTGTTATGTTGCCGCAGAAATTTCCTTTGCGCTTTTGACTTATAACCGACCGTATTTCGTATAAATACGCGGATATTATCGAGTGCAAAATAGCATTCCTTATCGCTTGTTATAAATTCATTTTCTTCAATGAATACTCATGAAAGAACATAAATAAATAACATGAAAATGTTTTGTCTTGAAAAATATATATACATAAGTAAAAAAATCATTAATATCTATGCACACGTACCGAAAAATTGTGTTTGAGGATGAATATTTCTTATCGCTTGTAATAAATATTTATTAGCGGGAGAAATTTGAATGCCTACTCAAATCAAACCAATTAGAAAACGAATTATTACAGAAGAGTGTCCACCATGCACTTGCACTGCACTATCATTAGAATAGTAGAAGAGAATGATGGTATAAATGGATGAAAATTTGCCGGAAGAGTTATTAATATGATCTGCTATATATATATATATATATGTACAAATTTTTGCACCTCATGTTTGCGGTATATCATCTTTTCCGCAATTTTATTTTTTTCTGTTTGGTAATAAATTAATAATAAGATCTATTTTGTTACGCTTGTGATCCGTTTATTTGGCAATCGCCGGTGGCAGTCAGCAGGGTTTAATGCTGCGTTCACACGTAATTCGAATTCTATTCGCATTAACTAATTCGAATTAGTTTAATTCGCATTCGAAACGTTTTACGTCCAAACGTAAATTCTAATTCGAATTGCAATGTGTGTCAAATTCGCTTTACTGTCCTAACGACGTTAACTTTTAATTCGTATTAACAAAAACGCATTTCTAATGCGAATTGGATAATGCGATTTAGCCAATTCGAATCAATTCGAATTTAAAAAGAAGAGTGTGTGAACGCGATTAGCGAATTCGATTCGCATTCGATTCGAATTCAATTCGAATTAAATGTAAGTGTGAACGAGGCATAAGAACATCAGTTGTTCGACCTGCTAGTCAAATGCGTTTTGTTAAAATATACCTTTTCACTCATTTGGTCTTTTGGAAAATGTTGTTTGTGCTGTATTTAGACCCCTCTACCAAGACATTTGTTTTGCATGCGCAGGTATAAAAATTGCGGTTTTTATCCAACGCAATCATAGGTTTGAACGTTGCTTTCAATTTAGACTTGTTTATTTTTTTCGTTTGGGCTTGTATTATATTTGCCTTCGGGTTTATATGATCCGTTCATCCTATTTTGACTCTTTCAAAATTCAAGAGTCTATCCTAAATTGAGGTAAATTATATGGCCTTCCAAATACCGTTTCGATTCCTAACATCACTGAAGAGACATTAATTGTCGAAATCCGGATATGGTGTACAAATTTTTGCACCTCATGTTTGCGGTATACCATCTTTTCCGCAAGTTTATTTTTTCTGTTTGGTAATAAATTAATAATAAGATCTATTTTGTTACGCTTGTGATCCGTTTATTTGGCAATCGCCAATGGCAGTCAGCAGGGTTTAAGAACATCAGTTGTTCGACCTGCTAGTCAAATGCGTTTTGTTAAAATATACTTTTTCACTCATTTGGTCTTTTGGAAAATGTTGTTTGTGCTGTATTCAGACCCCTCTACCAAGACATTTGTTTTGCATGCACACGTATAAAAATTGCGGTTTTTATCCAACGCAATCATAGGTTTGAACGTTGTTTTCAATTTAGACTTGTATATATATATATATATATTTCTCTAATTCTTCGTCAATTTATCCCTTTCTGCACCCATTGTATAAAAAAAAATTAATCAACGTGTGGTTCGTTTGATCTCAGTTCTTCATTGGCTAAAATCCGATTATGACGTCGAATTTTCTTGCTTTCCTCTGAATTTCCTATTGTGACGGCATGAAAAAATGCGACCATGCCTGATGACGTCACATAGAAAGAACACATCTTTTTGCAGATCATTCGAAAAGAAGGAATAAATTTGCCTGCGTATTGTTTGAAAATCATTAGAGAAACAGATTCCACCACCAAATTTCGTGTAATACGATATTTATCCACTCTCGACAGTTAAATTTTAAATATTTAAAACGCTCGGCGAGCCTCGCGTTTTAAATTTGAAAATTTTACTGTCTCGAGTGGATAAATATCGTATCACACTCGATGCAGTGGTAGAATCTATCTATATATATATATATATATATATATATAATTGTTATACAAATATTAACATAATATATAACAACAAACCAGATTATACTGATAACAAATAATTGTCCCATGATTATATCACTACAATATAATAATTATTACGGTGAGGTTGAATTCCCTGTCATTTATAATTCATCATCCACACAGGAACTTAATTCAGAAAAAAAAAATATATCTACGTACCTTAACCTAACTTTCAGGTATAGAGATATGATTTTTTTTTTCTGAGATAAGTGCCTGTGACTATCCACCAGAACTTGCGGTCATCCGATGTTCAGTACTTCGGTACTTTGATTATAGTTTGTTCTTGTGTTGGGCTGTTACACCACTAACTCCAGGTTAGGGGGAGGGTTGAGCGCTTACAAACATGTTTAACCCCGCCACAGTCTTTATGTGTCTGTCCCAAGTTAGGAGCCTGTAGTTCAGTGGTTGTCGTTGGTTCATGTCTGTCATATTTGTTTTTCGTAAATTGTTTTGTTATAAATTAGGCCGTATGTTTTCTCATTTGAATTGTTTCATATTTTTCATGTCGGGGCCTTTTATAGCCGACTATACGGTATTGGTTTTTCTCATGGTTGATGGCCGTACGGTTGCCTATAATTGCTTACATCCGCTTTATTTGAACTTTGGTGGATAGTTGTCTCATTGGCAATCATACCTCATCTCCTTATTTTTATATTAATAGTGACCGATGACCTTTTTTGAAACCTTGATATTTGAATTTTACATGGTAATTTCTATACCAAAATTCATAATGAACAGGTTGACTTTCTTTTTCCGATTGTTAATTTTCTCTTCCTTAACATAATTAAAAGGTGATGAATCGTTTTCTCCTTCTTATTTGCTTATGGATTGTGTATTTTTCAGTTGGTTCGATATGCGCGTGTTTGAAGTAAAGTCTTGGATTTCAATTAAGAATTGAATGCTTCTTTTTGTAATTTTATCGGGATGTAAAAGCGTTGACCGAAGCACATTTTTTTCATTAAGCGCGGAAGCGCTTCGTATAAAAATGTGCGCACGATCAACGCTTCTTCAACCCTATAAAATTACGAAAAAAGCATTTAATTCTTATAAGTACATTTTCATGCTACAATCGTGAAACATTTTTCTTTTGTTTTCCTATGCATTGTTGTAACATTGTCACGAGAAGCACGTGTATGCTGTCATGACTGTCCAATTTTATTTGGAAATAATTACATTGGATGTATGTTTCATTATTATACGTTATTTTGATTGGCTAACAGCAATCTCGCGTTATTCTTCATTTCAAAATGAATTGCATGAATTGAAACATACATGATGACACACGTTTCCACAATAAAGTGCACAGGTAAATAAAAGAAAAACTTGATAGTAATCGTGTTTTCATGATCATAGCGAAAAAATGTAATTATAAGTATGGAATGCTTCTTTTAGTAATTTCATAGGGTTGTAAAAGCGTTCACCGCGCGTACATTTTTAGAATGAAGCGCTTCCGCGCTGCATACAAAATGTACTTCGGTCAACGCTTTTACACCCCAATGAATTTACAAAAAGAAGCATTCAATTCTTAAATAAAATCTAATTTTGGAAGGCCTATCAATTGTTGTCAGCCAATCGAAAGTACGGATTCTTATGAAACAAACATGTAACGTAATATTGATCGTTATATTTTCATAAGTAAAAAGCTTTTACATCATGAATATATATCGTCTTATATTGCTCTGACATCTGACGGCCTTTTGTAGAACTTTTTGGGGTCGTGGTATGTCATAGCACAGTCAATATTGAAAACATGGAATTTGCGACCTAGACTTGGGGCGGCAAGTTTCTGTTTCGAAATCATAAAGATTCCATTTTTATGTAGATAAATCATACATAGGGATATTTCGCATTTAGCTTTAAGGATGTACACCTCTGAGGAGCCAAAAATTTCTAGAATTAAACTTTTTTTCATAACCTGATTTTTGGGTTTATATGACTGTAAAAAAATAATTGGCGAAGAAAAAAATCATATGGTGGTGCACTTCTTTTTTTTGCTCATTTTTGGACCATTATCATGAAAAAAATCACAGTTTCACAATTAAACTTGTTTTCATACTATCAATACAGATGAAATGGACCAATCTGAATAAATTTAACTTGAAAAAACTATAGGTAGGTGTTAATATAAGAAAGTTTTATAAACTTTTGTTGCTTTTTCGTGTCAAATTTACCATCATGCTGTTAATTTTGTAAATTTGGGTTTTCTCTTTTTTTAGAACAAAAAGCATATTATGTCAAAAATATATATCTAAGAAATTTGAAAAGAAAAAATTGATATGGAATGTACATGTTTCTGGTAAAATCATTTCTTGTACCCCTCACCGAGACTGAAACGTCAGAAGAATACATCCTTAAACGGTAATATTGTTTATCAAGCTAGAAAATTTAGGAACTGTCCTTCGAATGTGTCAAAATGGCTTAATATACTTATTTAGGTGATAAAGACTGATAACGGTTATGATTGTTGTTCAATCAGTGAGGGACGTGAAGGGCATACGATACAGTTTTGATCCCACGGTGAATTTTTGACGAAAATTTGCATACAAGCTATTATTCACCTAGGAAATTCAAATATGTAATAAAAATATACCTTCCTGTGTTACTTTTAGAAATAAATGGGGTCAACATTTTAGACATATACTCAAAACTCGGTTTCTTGGACATTTCTATCCTTTGTACAGACATACCTAACTTTTTAGTTTCAAAAGATAAACACAAGCGCGTTTATGTTAAAACATTTGGAATATCTTATTTTCATAAGTATGCTTTAAAATTGTGTAACAATCATTTTTTTATTAAATGTTTATGATTTTAGGAAAAATATAAAAAAGAAGATGTGGTATGATTGCCGATGAGACAACTCTCCACAAGAGACCAAATGACACAGAAATTAACAACTATAGGTCACCGTACGGCCGTCAACAATGAGCAAAGCCCATACCGCACAGTCAGCTATAAAAGGCCCCGAAATGACAATGTAAAACAATTCAAACGAGAAAACTAACGGCCTTATTTATGTACAAAAAATGAACGAAAAACAAATATGTCACACATAAACAAACGACAACCACTGAATTACAGGCTCCTGACTTGGGACAGGTTTTTTCATGTATATTTATCTAATTTAAAAAAAGTTCATCGGTGATTTGCTCATAAAACTTTGTACAAATAATCCTCATACATAATCAAGCCAAATGTTATTTTCAAGAAGAGGGATTCATGTATTCGTATTCAAACTAAATAAATGATTAACATCAGTCAATAATGCATCTTTTCCTGATATGTCACAGTTTGGTGTCTCGAAAAAATACGTTTTACGTAAGCAACTTCATTAAATCCCCTGTTACTGTATCGAATGCCCTTTAAAAGCAATCAACAATCAAATCAAATTAATCCCTGCGTCTCATAATTTTTGACCTAAAAAAATAAAGAATAAAAAAATAATGGGGTGCTAAAATATACAACATGGACTTAAGCAATCGTATTTTTTCTTTTCTTTATCACTGAAATACTGAAAGATGCATGCAATATCTACCACTATAGACGTTATGAAAACTGAAAATCTTTAGAAACATGAAATACTTAGAACTGGACGTTTATAATTATCTAATCAATAGAGTATAATTAACTCTATAGTAATTCAAAGGGTCGGAAACGTGTGCAGTCTATCCCGGAAATGGCCTGATCTTGACAGCTAGAAAAGGGAAAACAGAATAGTGATCGGAAATTTTCCTTATAAGTCACTTATAGATCAATTCGAAGGCTTTTTGACTCTATCAAACAACGTTACTTATAAGCAAATTAATACATTATACTATTTAAAATCTTGAAATAGAAAATAGATCTCACCAAATCAAGAACTTGGTTTAACGCAACACCAAATTTCACCACAACTGGAATGTTGGCTGATTTTGTTGGTCTTGGTGAAGTGCTGTAATTCTGAAATAATTCTCTATACAGTGTTTTTTCTGTTCCATCTATTTTTTCTACAAGCAAAACATTATCTTGATAAGTTATATAAATAAGTAAACGTTTCTGAGGTCAGGTGTCTCTTAAATCCATACCAGCCCTGGTATGAGAATGCATATCAGAGCTCATTTAAAATGTGTTACAGTAGACAGCCGAGGTCTCTGTCCTAGGTTTATATGGTTTGAGGGATGATACGAAGGTCGAATTGGAAATTGTCACGTAAATGAAATAAAGCACACTAGCTATGTCGCGGCGAGAGCACTATTTCTAAAAATATCATATCCAAAATAAAACAGTGAAAAATACAGTTGTACAAAATAGATAAAAAAAATGTTGTTTAAAAACTAGCCAACAATGTTCTTCTCGACATTTATTATCACAAAATAAAATCGAAATTCGACCTTACTTAACTTAATTTGTTTAATTTTCTAACGAAATGATATTTTCAAAATTTTGCCGAGACCTAGTACATTGTATCTGTTCAAGCATTTTCTTTTGTATGCCAATACGATTTGTCTAGTAGATTCTATCATTCCTGGAAGTAAAATTGTTGCAAAACGATTGGGTTTCTTTGGTCTACAGTATATATAGACTTGCATTAGTTTTTTGCGAACCGCATCTTTATAATATATTCTTGTTTAAATTCTGTAAAAAATAGAATGACACTTACCAGAGTAGATCAGAGGAAAAAAGTTGATCACCAAGATTGTAAAAATAAAAATACGTGATTCCTCCATTTTGAAGAGATAAGAAATCAACAACATTCAGAAGTTAAATAATGTGTAGCAGATGATTGAAGGAAATGTTGATATCAGATTATTATATATCTTGTACGTAAAATTCTTCAACTAAGTTTGCAATTTATTGCTATGGATACCAATAACATGTGCTAATTCTATATTTACACCTGTAAATTAACTTTATTTCAAATCATGTTATTATATAAATAACGAAGAAGATGTGGTATGACTGCCAATGCGATAACTCTTCATTGACATAGAAGTAAGCACCTATATGTCAACGTACGGCTTTCGACAATGAGCAAAATGCATACCACACAGCAAGCCTTGAAGACAAATAGATAACATTTATATTATTGCTACACAGGCAATTTTCTTCGACGTGTGTTTAACTTTGTGCACATAACATTCTCACGTGATGATCACGTTTTTAACATTCACGTGGCTTTCATTTAAATCTAACATTAAAAAAACATCGAAAGTTTTATACGTGATTTGCATGTGTTTATATCGAGTTTATTTTTTTACGTTATTGTAACGTGTTGATGTTGTGTTAATTTCAAATTTATTAATTTTTTCAGGTGATTTCACGTGTCAATTTCATATCAATATCAGATGAATTGCATATGAAAGTTCAAGTTATTTTCTCTTTAAAATTATTTATAACGTGAATATCACCCGTTGTTACTTTTATATCACGCTGTGAGCCTAAATTGTATAGTATTTGTCTGCTTGGTTAAGGTGCTAAGAATATCACGTGACTCTTATGATGGAATCAGGTCGAAGAAAACTGCAAGTGTCCGACACATTATATTAGCATTTTATGGGTGACATATCCGTGTTATTATAAAAAATATCGTATTAGACAAACTTCAGATCTCTATACATGCTTTATAAGCCATTGAAAATATGTTAACCAGTTTAATTTGTCTCATTAGTGCTATCTTTATCAAACATGTACGATGACACCCGATGTATAAATATTTTCCCATTTCGCCTGAATGTAATTTTCGTATTAAACTTTTTGTCGAGTCACGGCTGGTAATCTACACACGCAGAACAATCGGTTCTGTAATGAAAACCGTGAGAGGATTTTCCGGTTATGCGTGAGTGGAGTAATTGTCACCGCTTCAAAAGGTATGTACATCTCTAAATTGCAATTTCCTAATTCAACTGATCAAAATATTGAAAATCGGAGAATGCTATGCTGTGGTGAATACTTTAACGAAGAGACACATGTATCATTTACTGTTGTGCATGGAGTAAAACTCCTACAAAATCAATCGTCCCACGGGTAATTGCCGAAAAAAGTGACATTTAAATTTTGAGATGGTTCTGTTATATAGATACAATGGATAAGCGTGGATTCTTGAAAAAGAAACCATGAGCCCGGAGGGCGAATGGTTTGTTTTTCATTAATCTACGCTTATCCATTGTATCTATAACTTAAACTATTGTGTTAATTTCTTTTCAAAATTAAAGCCTTTTCTTAATTAGAAGGTATTGTAAGTGAGTTTAAATAACCATGTTATCGTGTCCAACGATGCATTGATAAATCTCAGATCACAATTAATTGGTTAACAAAATACAAATATAACACTTCTACCTTTAAAGAATTTTATATTACCAGGCATATGAATATTATCTGTTTATACAAAATAAGACATATTCAAAATTATTTCTAATAAAATTGAAAATGGAAATGGGGAACGTGCCAAAGAGACAACAACCCGACCAAAAAGCATATATAAAGTATATATAATAAGTATGTTATCGAAATTTTTCTAGCACTCTAGGCACATCACGATTTTCTCGCATAGGAATTTGCGAACAAACCTTTGTAAAATTATGTAGTAAAACAAATGAAATCATGCTATATTTATAAAACAAAAATTGACAAATAGAATGTAATCATTTTTGGCTCAAACATGTGAAATAGCCAATAATAATAAAAATAAACCCGGTAAAACTCGCTATTATTACAAAAATATCCACTATAACTTGCAAAATTAGAAAAAAACTAGGATAACTTAAGAATTGGTACAACAAAGAGAGTACAGGGATTCGAACCTAAACCGACAAATCCCGATCTTTAACTCATTGATTTTAACCATGCTAACCTCGCGGCTACCAACTCATACTATACGACTGCCTATTGTGTCTATATAAAGGTACAAGCCCTGTGTGTCCGATGAACCGATGTATATCAGATGTTCATTTAAATATATATAAAAAACATCTATAGTGTAACCCATTGGTAGCCGAGAGGTTTCGTCGGTGTGCTGATGTCAGTCACACAAAACAGATTTCAAGGAAGGGTTCGATTCCCAGTGAAGGCATATAAAAATTACAAAAATTAAAGTTTTTAAATTAATTCCATTAGTGAACAGAAATCAGTAAATTAGCTTATTTAAACTTAATGAAATTAGGCACACAAAGGAAACAATTGAATATAATTTGGTGAGTCAATTTCAGCGGCAGATTTAGGAAGCGTTGATTCTAGAAAAAGAATCCACGGTAAATGAATAGGCTGACGTCACCACAATGGTTTAAATTAACAGACCTACAAGTTCAGATTTAGTTTTTTTTTCTGTCAACGGGATTGAATGTCGTTTTGGACGGCGTGTACGCTGTCCGAAGGTGATAGACGTCTTAATAAATCTAAAAACTGCCAATTTTCATTATTTCATGCGTGAGGGGATCGGTTCTGATTGAGGACATCGTGAATGCGTGAGGGGAAGTGCAATCATATCTTTATATCGAAAAATGCAACAATCACTTCAAAGAAAGGCAAGTAACTTGCATAGTTTTATTGAAGTTTATAACAAATATAAATTGACAATGGAAATGGAAATGGCTACGACGTCAATATAATTGGTTTAGATTTATAATTGACTATGTTTTTTTCTCGTGTGCATGTATTAAGACTTTAATCTATGTTTTAGATGGATAGAACACGCCACCATTGCCTGCATTGTGACAAGTCATATACTCACCGTCCAAAGCTGAACTTCAGTGTAAAGCTGGTACATGAAAACACATGAGTCGAGAAAAGTCACAAGGCCAAAGATTAAAAAAATGTTTGCACTTCCCCTCACGCATTCACGATGTCCTCAATCAGAACCGATCCCCTCACGCATGAAATAATGAAAATTGGCAGTTTTTAGATTTATTAAGACGTCTATCACCTTCGGACAGCGTACACGCCGCCCAAAACGACATTCAATCCCGTTGACAGAAAAAAAACTAAATCTGAACTTGTACATGTAGGTCTGTTAATAGAACCATCTCAAAATTTAAATGTCACTTTTTTCGGCAATTACTCGTGGGACGATTGATTTTGTAGGAGTTTTACTCAATGCACAATAGTAAATGATACATGTGTCTCTTTGTTAAAGTATTCACCACAGCATAGCATTCTCCGATTTTCAATATTTTGATCAGTTGAATTAGAAAATTGCGATTTAGAAATGTACATACCTTTTGAAGCGGTGACAGTTACTCCACTCAAGCATAACCGGAAAATCCTCTCACGGTTTTCATTGCAGAACCGATTGTTCTGCGTGTGTAGATTACCAGCCGTGCAAGTATGAATTTGTGGTGTAAACAACAATATTTCCAGTGAAAACAAAAACAAATACGTGCTGAAATTTCAATGTACCATGCGATTCTTATCAAAACAAACAGACTAATAGTCCCATTAAAACAAACGTGGCAACATCCAATACATGTATGCATGTACGTACAAATAACTAACTAAAATCAATTATTATATTTACTTACAAATACATTTTTTATTTGTTATCAACGGATTATTTGTTAAAAAAAACATGCGTAATAGATATCAATTTATATTTATAATTGAAATCTTTTATTTGCATAGTATTTTGTCTCGCCTGCGATAAAGTCGCAGAATGGGAGACATAGGTACATGTATTACAATCCGGTGGCAGTGGCGACGACGACGGCGGCGACGTCGTAAACTATTCGTTTAAGGGCATACGGTATAGTTTTGATCCAACGGTGATTTTTTTTTACGAAAATTTGCATACAAGGTATTTTCCAACTAGTCAATTCAAATATGTAATAAAAAATATACCTTCATGTGCTACTTTTAAAGATAAATGGGGTCGAAATTTTAGACGTTTACCCAAAATGTCGGTTTCTTGGACATTTCTATCCTTTGGATAGACATTCCTAACTTTTTTTGTTTTAAAAGATAAACACAAGGGGAATTTTGTAAAATCATTTGGAATATCTTCTCTATATCAGTATGATCTAAATTCAAGTAACAATTTTTTGGAAATGATTCATTCTTATTAAAATTTCATGATTTAGAAAAAAACCGGCATTTTTTGCTGTATATTTACCGAATTGAAAAAAATTTTCATCGGTGATTTTTTTCATAAAACCTTGGTACAAATAATCTTCATGCATAATCAAACCAAATGCCATTTGAAAAATGAGGGGTCAATGTGCTCATTTTCAAGCTTTTGATTAAAATCAGCCGAAATATACATCTTTTCCCGATATGTCACAGTTTGACGTCCGAAAAATAACATTTTACATTAGTAACCTCATTACCTCCCCTGTAACTGTATCATATGCCCTTTTAAATAAAAAGCTATATATTTCAGAAGGTAGAAAACCTGGATGCTTCATACATTGCGCGCAGATACCTTCTGTTACGAAGTTTCCGTCTGTCATATGTCCATTGTCCTTGACCTCATTTTCATGTTTCAGTGACTGCTTGATAAACAGATACTATAAGCAATAGGTCAACTATATTTTTATGTATGGAATGATTGTATGTTGTAGATGTCTGTCTGGCGGGATTCATATGACCTTGACTTTATTTTCATGTTTCATTGGCCATTGTTAAGATTTTTGGTTTGATCTTTTTCTCGGGTACTTTTAGCAATAGGACCACTATATTTGGTGTATGGAATGATTGTAAGATGTACATGTCTGTCTGGCATGGTTCATCTGACAGTGACCTCATTTTCATAGAAC